GTGCCTGGAGCTGAGCTGCGACGTGTCGATGGTTACACGATAGCTAGATACTTAGAACAAGAGCCATGCAATTATGATCCGCTAGCTTTGGCTGAGCACGCTGTTCATGGGCATGTCCACGCCCAGGAAGAGCTGCAAGGCAGCAGCCGCCCTGGAGCCGTTGCTCTTCCCGAATCGAATACAACAAAAAATTGCAAAACAAAAAAAAAAAAACAAGAAATAGTTGCACTTATGCTGAATGAAATGTAAACTTGACGCAAAGTAGATTTTTTATTAATTTAAACATTGTCGTCGTGGAAAACAGAAGTGAAAATGCGAGCGGCAAATGACAACTCAATGTGCCTGTCGCTGGCATTGCGTTGGGTGGCGGCGGTGCAAATTATGAAATTAGTATTATGTGAAATGGAGTTAAAAGTGTGATTAACTTGGCGCGTATGTAAAACCCCCAGTCGAAGCCACAGCCAAAGACAAAGGCATCCAAGGCATTAAACATAAAGCATACGGCATAATAAGCTAGCTAAACCAAACGGCAAACCGCAAAAACGCCAAAGACAATGAAAGTCAACTAGTTGCGTGTGTGTTTGCGTGTGTGTGTGTGTATGTGTGCGAGTGGCAATTAATACCATTTCAGTTAGTTTTCGCAGCCAGCAACTGTTTTCCAAGTGAGCAAGCATGCGATTTCGTCTCCAGCTCCCAACGCTGACAGAAGAAGAAGACAAACGCATCAGCCCTGCCACATTGTTGCTGTTGTTGTTGCTGTTGCTGTTGGCTTATTAGCAATGGCAGTTAGAATCGGCATTGGGCTTGTCAAGTGGAGAAAGCCACGCAATGCGGTTGCCCAAAAAACCGCAAGCGCAGCGTTCCAACTCCACAGACAGCTGCATGTTATTTCAAGTTCGTTGCCTAAGTCTTTTGTTCTGCATGCGGTAAGTGCACAAAAAACAACTAAATTCGCATTGAGGCTGAATGTGTGAAACAAATTGGATTAACTGGCACGCGAATCTGTTGTCCAGCTACGAGTTTCCATTTCGATTTCGATTGCCAGCTGAGCAGGGCCTCGTCCAGCCTCGTCACAGGGCAACGTCTGTTGCGCTTTGCTTGCTTCGCTCTCTCAACTTTTCTATAGTTGACTTTAATCATACAGTATTAAATGTACATACAAAACTAATACTCGAGACCAAAAACCAAAGCCAAATATAATTTATAAGTATTAAAAAGAAAATCAGCAGACCAACAATTAATAGACCATGAATAGCAGCTAGACGTTTTCATTGCTTGGACTTTTTAGAGAAAATTGCACACTTTTCAAAGCCAAACTTCAGACTCAGTTTCAGATCTGACTAAGGTACACATAGCTCTCATATCTCATGGAAAGGGATTCAATAACAGAAATTTGACACAAGGCAATTGAATAAATTACAATAAATTGAAATAAATTTCAATTTAAATAAAATTGCATATTATTTTTGGACTTAAATGCTTAGATAGTTATTTATTTTCATTATTGAAATAATTTTATAATTTTATGGAATTAAAAATATTATTCTGCATTTTTATGTCAGGTATTTTATTTATGGCAAACGCCTGCCTGCGCTTTTATGTATTAATGCTGTTTGTTAAAGTACTTTGAACTTACAATAAATATTGCAAAAACTAACCTTTTAATTTGAAGCGAGCTGCGTCAATTGTTTGCTAAATAATGAAATGAATGTTGAACTTTGTTTTAATTCCGTTTCTTTTCGTTGTTGTTTTTTTGTGTATTTTTTTTTTAAACATAAGCAAGCAACTATTTTGAATACTTGTCGACTTCAGCTCACGCAAAACATTTTTCAGCGGCTTTTGCAAATATTGTGCAAACTATAATTAATTGCATTGTGAAAATAAATGTTGCATAAAAACGATACAAAAAAAAAATGCAGACACAAAACAAAACAAATACAAGAGACACGCACGAGTAACAAACATAGGCACAGGCACAGGCAACGTCTAGGGGTCAAGGATTCCTTTTTGATTTATTTTTATATTATTTTTATATATTTTTTTGGCAGCCGTTGAACAAACGTAACGGCAACAAGTCAAACGGGCAACCAGCGTACAAGAAATGCGCGCGCTTGCAGCAGCTCGAGGCACGAAAAAGACGACCACGACCACGACCACGACGATGACGATAACGATGGAGCTGCCTGTGAACCGGGACCGGTAGCGATCCGTCAAACACGTTTCCCAGTTACAACCTCCCAACGGAATGATTTGGCCGAATCTGCAGCAGCGCCAATGAAGCTCGGCTAGACTGCCAGAGACAGCGACAACGGCGCCCACCGTTAACATGTAGCTGGCGCCGGCAAGCAAGAGAGAGAGAGAGAGAGAGAGCCCAACCAGAGAAAGAGGTAAAGAGAGAGAGTGAAAGAGCTGCTCACCTGTTGCCAGCTGCAGTCAACATAATTTGCAGAGAGAGAGAGAGAGAAAGAGGGCGAGTGTGTGTGGGAGAGACTCTCTTTGGCTTGCACTGAGAGCAGAAGAAAGTAGCGAGTCGCTGAGTCTGCGAGCACCCTATAAGACTGATATTCAAGTAGCTACTATTGCAGCTCCAGTTGTTCAGATTGAAATGAAGCTAATTGAATTTGTCAACTGGAGCCATCGGCTTGCCTAAGTGGTTCCACTGGTGACACCACTGAGCATGCTTGACAGGCTGACATGTTTTGCATATCGATAAAACGGTGTTTCGGTGCTTCAAGTAGTTGTTCTGCTTAAAGCAAATTAAGCTTCATAAATATTTGTACTTAATTATTGACAGCTTCCAATTTCTAGTCTCTATGTCAAATCGCTTATTAGAAGGCCTGATGAGCAGCCAAGAGAGTATACTAGCACTAGCAAAACGCTTACGAATTCATTGTAAGGAGACTCTTGAATTCCGAAATCAAGTTGACTCAAGATCCTTTGTAATTGCTGTAACAACACTTTTTCATAGCTACGTTGAAAAATAACATATATATTATTCCCTAACCATACTTAAATTGATCGCTCTCTCTCTCTCTTATTCCCTCCCAGTTAGATTACAGATAAAGTAAATGTTTACTGGGCGGACACATCCTTATTCACATATTATATTTCACCATTCAATTCCATTAAATATCTCATCTAAATATCAATTTGACATCAGTCAAATTTGACACACAAATTAATTTAGCCTTGAATTGCCCTTCATATTGTCGATATAAGTATTATCGAATTGTTACATTTAATTTCCCAATCAATTATTGGACTCAATTAAGCAATTAATTAACAATCTCCAAATCTGTTTAATAGTTTGAGTTGAGTAACTCAAACAGAAGAAGAAATCAACTAATTTGATGAGCTTTGTTGTTTAAATTTCTCTTTCATATTATGAGGTCTTTTCGATGCCCACAACGAATTGCAGAGTTGCATTCAAATCCCAATCAATTACATCGATTACTTTATTTGAGGCCTATAAATAGGGCGGATCTACGTAGGATAACTCATTCGTCTACAGCCTGTCTGCCGGGCGAGGCCAATTTTTTGTTTTTCTCCTTTTTTTCTTACCTACTTTTAATTTTTATAAAATATTTTTTATATATATATTTTTTTAATATTTTTATTTGTGAACTGTTTTTTTTTTTTTTTATTTCCGTCCTGTATGCTTTTGTAAAGCAACAAAGGAAATTGCTTGCATTTCGAGAAGTTGATATATTTTAATAAGTTATTCATTGCAATGCAATAGAAATATTTCTACTGTTGGTTAAATGCCGAGAAGTATGGTGGGTGGAGTTTAATCGAGATCCCTCTAATCAAAACTTTTCCTTTTCAAACAACTTTCTTTGGGGTCGAGTTGTAAAAACGTATGTTACACATATTAAAAAAAATAATTATTACATATTATAAATGCATTACTTGGGAAGTCGCTTGTATAATTTCAAAACGGGCTTCTCCCAAATCACGAAACAGATTCTAAGCGCTGCTTTTAAGCTCGTTAAGCTGCCACGGGTGGGAGTTGCTGGCTGTTTGCAGGGTAATGTATGTAAACAGTTGCAGTTGGTTGTTTTTCTTTTTCTCAATAAATCGTAAACTTAAAAAAAAATGTTGATTTTTCATTTTACTTCGTGTTGCATAAGCAAATCTCTTCAAATGAGCTCACTTTAAAAAAAAAAAAAAATTTTAACAGGAAAAAAAAGTAAAGTTTGTTTGCGGCCCACACGGCGTATGCGCAACGCGCACATCCGTCATAACTTTAAGCTGGAGGCTGCTTTTCCACAGTCTTCACCTGTTTGACCCACGGCCCTTCAGACGTATGGGCAATGCGCAAAAGTCAAATCATGACTCTCAACTGGAGGCACTTCGTCCACTCGGTGTCGCTTTTAAGCCAAACAGAGCGGCAGATTGCGCAAGGCGAGCCGCAGGCGAATTGCCGCCGTTTAATTGCTGTATTTAAAGCTGCAATTAATTTGGTTTTTTCTTCATTTAACTTGACTTCAAATTTTTAATTAAAGGCAATCCACAACGATGCGCAGCCACTCGGAAATGGCAGACGCTCGACTAGAATCGAGCGATGAGCAATATCGCAGAGCATTGCCAAAATTAATTTATCCTCATGCTCTTGCTGTGGGTCCATTCAAGTTTTCTTCTAAATTCGTATTCGTTTTGCTGTTTTGTTCTGGAACAATCATCTCCTTAAATTACCTTCCGGATCTGGCCGAGTCCTTAGCTGTATATGCCCTTTGTGGGCCAAACACAAAATAAGCATTGAGTACTTCTTACAGAGAGGAGAAGAGAAGAGTACTTCTTACAGAGAGGGTATCAATACGTCTGGAAGTGTGTTTAAGCTGCGGCAGCTTCAAATTAATTCTTCGGTTTAGTTTTTCAAAGTTTAAAGTTTTTATAATTAAGTTTGTTTTTTTGCTTTTAATTATTATTTTTTGTTTTCGTTTTTTTTATTTTTGATCGGTTGTATTAACTATCAACCAAATATGATGGTTCCATATATTTTTGTATTTCGTCGTCTTTGTTTTTTTTTTTTTTTCTACACAGAAGCTAATCATTAGCAATATCGAATGGAACTTTCAGCTATAAATTGTGCTGCCTGACAGCCAAGAAGCATCACAAGCTATTGGAGCAGCGCCCCGAGAGCTACTTAAACATCAGCAAGAGTAACAACAATCAACTAATTCAACTATCGATATGAAGGTAACAGAATTCATTTAAGGACTCATCTTTGGGCCGACTAACATATACACTTACAGGTCTTTGTCTGCTTGCTTGCCACTCTGGCACTGGTTAATGCGGGACAACGCGGCGGAGCTGGCGGTGGTGGCTATCTGCCAGGCGGTGGACGTGGCGGCGGCGGCGGCGGTGGCGGCTTCAGGAATGGAGCTGGACTCATCTCTCATGTCTCACAGTTGCATGGCAACACGAAGGTGCAAATTGGCTCAGGCGCTAGCGCTGGATCCTATGGCGGTGGTGCTGGCGGTGGCGGCGGTGGCTGGCAGGGAGCAGGTGCTAGCGCTGGAGGTGGACGCGGAGGCTATGGTGGTGCAGGCGGTGCTGGTGGCTGGCAGGGTGCTGGTGCTGGCGCTGGAGCTGGCGGCTATGGCGGCGGTGCTGGAGCTGGAGGCTGGCAGGGAGCTGGTGCCGGTGGTGGTCGCGGCGGCGGCTACGGCGGTGGTGCTGGAGCTGGTGGCGGACGCGGCGGCTATGGCGGCGGTGCTGGAGCTGGTGGCTGGCAGGGAGCTGGCGCAGGCGGTGCAGGCAATGCCTGGGGCAATCCGGCATCGTTCGATTATTCAGTTAACCACGGTGCTAGCGCCTCCGTTGGTGGCGGCTCCCGCGGTGGTGCTGGTTGGTGGAACGATTAAAATGATTGTTTGTACTAGATACAGAATAGATATGACAAACCGAATAAAATGAGTTAATCAAACAGAAAATGCGTTTCAATTAAAGAGGACTGCCAGATCTTTAAAATTAAATTGCTTATAAGCTTTAGCCAGACTTTGAATCAAATAAAATATATGCCAGATGGCGGCTCAACAGCTTGGCAACGGCTTGAAGCTAAGCTCCATTAGAGGGCGACACAGTGCACAAAGTTCGCGACAAGAGTCTTTTGTTTGAGCGTTCCAATTGTAAGCTGCAGATGGCGCTTCCCGTATAATTTGGCCAAGTTTTGCAACATAAACGCCAGAGCGCGCCACATGCCATGTGTGTTATTTTGAGCTCTAGGTAGCGCCAGCTTCGAAGCCGGCCAGTTCGTTGCTGAAGTCTTTCGTTTTATATAAAACCTGTTCGCTTAACCATCTCTCGTGATATTTGTACCGCATTCAGACCGGGTTAATGAAGTTCAATGTCAGAGCGCGGCGTTGGCTGTGAAAAGCGAAAGTCGAGCGATGGCATGGGCTGGCCCCATCTGTGCTCAGCCAGATCACAACGGTATCATCGGCGCGACAGCTCATTGTCATAATACAATGGCCATAAAGGATAAGCCCGACTGACAGGCTGCTCCTCAGGCGGTATTCGTGCACTTGAAGGCATTTCAAATTGAAACTGGACTCAACGCATTTGGACAATGAAAATTAAACAGCTTTGCTCATTGTATTTGGATTTCGCAATCATATTTTTTTTATTTTGTTTTTCATTCTCATGTTTTTGATTTGTAGCCAACCACTTCACGTGTGTATAAACTTGTCTTTACCTTTTGATTTTTCGCTTCCGCCGTTTGCTTTTGTTTGATAGGCTTTGCATTTTGTATTTGCCATGTCATGTGAGTGTGTGCGTGTGTTTGTTTGTGTGTTTATTTCTTTGTGGTCCACGGTATGGTCAAGTGCTGTTTGGCTGCTTGGCGTCGTCGTGTCTCGCTTGAGACGTGCCCAGAACCTTGGCAAAGCCACAGGCAATCGAATGGCTTTTTTGCATTTTGTGCATAAGACAAATATAATTACACAAGCAAATACAATTTGTTGTTGATTTCAAATTGTTGCCGTGTGTATTTGCATTTCATATGTTTGGCTCGGCTCAACTGGTTTGCCATCTAGCAAATATTTGCCGTATTGCATGTCTGTCCCAACACATTGAGCAAACTTTACATCGTGGCATTGAGCGCAGACAAATTATTTCGTAATTTTATGAAGCAAACAATTTACAAACGCCAGAAACTAAGAGTAAGTACTTCATGCGTGGCTAAGTTCAAGGGCAAGGCATATATTCTAGAAGCTGACACAAGAATTGGAAAGCAACATTTAAAAGTTTCAGTAAGAAAGCATGTTCTCACTTTCTTCGACTAGCTTTAAATGTTTTCCATTTAGTTAGTCAATAAAAGAATTCTTTGAAAAGCTTAAAACGCTTAATTAGTAGATGCAACGGATGCTACAGAATAAACTTTAACACAATAAAACTGAAACTCTTTATTTCCAAACATAGATTAACAACAATCTAGAGCACAACCTCCACGGCCAATGAAACATTTGGCATGCTAACTGCATGACTTGTGAAATAATACTTTCAGATTTATATATAGAAACTGTTTCTATATACTTCAAATTAGTGTTAATGGAACTGTGTTGGTCTCAGAGACGGCGTTTGATATTTGTCTGTTCATTTATTTTCTTTCTCTCTACAATTTGTCACAGCATTTAAATCATAGTTTTATTTAAATCAGTATAGCTACTGAGTTTTTGCATATTGTAAATGTTTTTGAACAGGATTATTTGAATGCAATTAAAAAACAATTTTTATGGGCCACGTTAGCAGCGGCAGCCTTAATGCTACAGCTATTTTAATTTATATGTTTTGCATTCCCATCAATTAGCTACAGAATACAGCATGCACAAATACAAATACGTATGTATGCATGTATGCATATATGTATATATAAGTAGTATATCGATGGTTTTTATGTGTACGTCTGATTACTATGGAAAGTAGGCAGCCGCTTATGCAAATCAATTATATCGCAGAGAGCTGTTCATTTTTATATGCATTAATATTACATCCATGCATATGTACATACATATGCATACATGCATACACACTTATGTATACGTGGCTTTAGTACGAACAGAATCTTTAATATATGCCACACGGCTGCATTGAGTATAATTATAATTATATGCCAGCTATAGTTTATGAGTGTCATCAATTCTGCAACCCTATAATGACAATGCGCGGTACTAGCGAGGGTCGATCAATAGCTAGATGACTTATGCGCGACGCAGACAATTATGCTCTAGACTAAAGAGCTTGACTGGAAGCGCAGACACTTTCTAAGAAAAGTGCCAGTTAATATATTAATTAAAAATTATTGTGTTCGCATATCGTGAACAAAGTCTTGTTTTTTGTTTCACAAGAACAGTGTTGGAACGTTGTGTTGCATTCAAGGATACATTTAAAACCAATTGAACCACCCTCTCGTATGAGCTTGCGAGTAGATGCGACCACCAAAAACTTAAATATTTATGCACTGCAGCTAGACATTCACTTCTGTGCAGTTGGGTCAGTAATTGCATATGAGTTAGTGAATAATTAAATATTTTAATTTCACGCAAGCCTTCAGATTGAAGGCAATGCGATGGGAACTACTTTTTATTAGGCTGCAATGGAAGATGATTCTATTGTAACAAAAGACGCGTTGCCCGCCAACCAAATGTATCTATCCACAGCATTTTTATCTTCATCTAATGAACGTGTTGAAAAACAAAAGCACATGATGGTTTTTTTATTTTATTTTGTTTTTTGTTTTTCATCTTGGTGCTGGCAGCGCGTGAGGCCCCAAAACTGGTTAAGAATATTTCTGAATGCTGCCGCACTACAAGGCGAAACGGCAGCAAAAAAATATGTATATATACATATATCTATAGAAAAATGTACAATGGCGACCTAATATACAGATCGTAAAACTATAAGATTGTTGGGTACTTTATGCATATATACCGAGAGCTGCGAGGCATATAAAAATCGTAATAAAAATTCTTTACTCTTCTTAGCTTTAATCTTATTTAACGTGTCATATATACGAATTAAATTTAATTATCAGTTTGGCAATAATATTTACAACTTTGATGATAAAAATATAATTAATAAAACTTCCATTATGCGCTTTTAAATGTCATGTCTCTAAATGGCGTATAACAGAAAATTAGTTAAGAGCTTAAATAAATTTAAATAAATTCCCGGGAATGCTAAATTTTTTATATTTGTGTGCTATTATTAAGCAAAAACAGAGGTTGCATAATTATTGTTAATCTTAAATATACGAATATTTTTATTTATTTTGTTTCTATTTTCGGCAACTGCAATCTGAATGAATAAGCTAAAACACAGCCAAAAATTAATGTTTCACTAATAAATATTATTAGAAAATGTTGTTATTGTAATATTTAAGCAAAACATAGGAAATAGAGAATTATTCTATAACTTTATATAGTATTGTGGATGACCTTAAAGAAATCCTAATTGAAATATGCTGAATATGAGCCAAAGATTTCCTCAATAGATATAGCTAATGAATCAATTGTTACAGCATACAAGGCCTATAGAGACATACCTATTTATGGACTGACAATAAACACCCCCAACCACAAGAAATATCGAGAATTAGAGCTTAGCTTACATTTTCTGTAGGCCTTAGGGAGCATTGAACTCTGGAAGTTGCCGGGTTCTAACCAAACTATTTCTTTGTATTTTCTTAGTACCAACAACTACGTATATATACACATAGTATATATATAGTATAGCATACACATATATGTATGTAAGTATTGCTCAGTCAATTGACTATGCAAATATGAGCCAAAACATAGGCAGCATCTCGGCGCTGAGCTGAGAACCGGTTCTGGCTTGGGCCTATTTATAAGCGATGATGTTGATGGGAACGTTTCGATATTAGGCCAAGCCTAAGGCTGCCAACTGAAGCGATCTGGCCCCACTCATTGGCTTCCTGATTATCTGATTACCTGATCTGGCGTTACAGTTTGTCGTTTTGCACAGGCCACTTAATACGCTTAGCTCGTGTGGGACCTTGGTCTGCAAATGAGCAGCAGCTACTATGGACGGGCTGTCCAAATATCATTTATCAATTGGGCAAGCTCTGCGTGTTGTCGACTGCTTTTGACAAACTGTTGATCTATTGTTGATGCTGTCTTTTCTGTCTCTCGTTTTCGTCTTCTTTTTCTATGTGATCAAACGCCGTTAATTTGTTTGACTTGTGGCCCAATGGATCCAACTTATGTTTGAGAAAACAGCCAGCATGCTCTTCGAGCGCGCTAACAACTAGCAGATACCCTGTAGCAGGCCGCCAAGTAGCTTAGCCGAAGGCTTAGCACAGTCAAAGGTCTAAATATAGTATTTTTCTTAAGCTGATATGTGCACTATTTGGCATACCCCTTCGGCGTACAGCCCATGAATACAGGGTATAAACAATGGCCAAGTCCAAGCCGCGCATGCGTAAAGATTTGCATAGTTACCGGAGACAATCGGCAAACAAAAGGCACGTCGGCAGCTTGTCAAAAGCAAATATCTTGAACAACATAGCACATACACATACAATATATGTGGGTTATTAATTCTTTTAATTGCTTAAACGATCAAAAGCAACAAATTGCTGAAGCACTCAAATCAAGTTTGCCGCACAACGTGCTTCAACTCGTGACACGAACGTGCACTTGGTGGGAAACTTATTGATATGAAAATGTATAAAAAACATCCATATGAAAAGCCATGTATATACTTATAAAAAACTTTTCCATAAGAGTCATAAGTTCTAGTCTGGCTTTTCGGACACCACCTCCAAAACATTAAGAGCCTAAATTCGAGCCCAAATTATTTACTTATCATACAAAAGGAACACGTCGTGCATGTCGTGTTTCATCGCTAACATGCACGACACGCGCTCTTCTCTACGCTGAGGCACCTGCTCTATCTTCAACTCGAACTCCCTCTGTCGCCAGGCTGAAGCTGAAGCTGATGCTGCGCATAGACCATGATCATATTGAGTTATTCATGCTATGCGATACTCGTTGTGTATTCGTTGTATATTGATTTCGAGCACGTTTTTTGGTATAAATGCGTGTTGGCATCTTAGTTGTAGAATTAGTCAACGCTTCCGTTTTGTCTTGAGCAGCACATCGAAACTGAAATCGTGATCGAGATACCAATCTATTGCAAGATGAAACCGTTTGCCTGTATTCTTGTTATCCTCGTGGCGCTTCTGGCCGGCAGTCAGGCTTCGCTTGAGGGTCTCCTTGGCGGCGGCGGCGGTGGCGGCGGAGGTGGTGGCGGCGGCATTGTTCAGCTGCTGCAAAGCAAACTGGGCGGACTCGGTGGAGGACTTGGCGGTGGTAACGGCGGTGGCTATGCTGGTGGCAGCGCTGGTGGCTACTCCGGCGGCTACTCTGGTGGACACTCTGGCGGCTACTCCGGCGGCTACTCTGGCGGCCATTCCGGCGGCTACTCCGGCGGCTACTCTGGCGGCCAGTCCGGCGGCTATTCCGGCGGCTACTCTGGCGGCCACTCTGCGCCCGCTAAGGTTATCATCGTCGAAGTGGTCAACCAGGGCCAGGGAGGTGGACATGGTGGTTACTCCTCGGGCGGTTATGGTGGTGGTCATGGCGGCTACTCCTCGGGCGGCTATGGTGGAGGTGGTTACTCCTCCGGTGGTTCCGGCTGGAACAAGGGCTGGTAAGCCAGCGCTTAGCCCAACAATAGCCTTAGACTCAAGTTTAAACAGGGAGCCAAAAAGCCAGAAATCGCAATATTCTTCAGTTATTTCTAAGTTAAATTTTTTTTTTTAATAAAAATTTTTAAATATATATAAAAACGCTTTTTTTTGCTAGTCTTAAGCTGAAAATTAACGCAATATATGAACAGAAATTTTCAATTCATATTGTAAATATTAAAATTAAGCATCGCTAGCTCAAACCGGTTGTCGACGTGCTTCCTGTTTGACCCATTGTCCGGCGCGGTGACCTCATGGCACAGCCAGCCGCTTTGCATGGGCTCCACTTAATTGGCCCCGACTGCAATTTGGCTCTAATGCGACATTTATAGCACGGGCGCGCGAAGATCACCCGCCGTAAATTGGCCAAAACGAAGACAATTCAATTTGGCAAGGCTTATATTTTACATGGGGCCCAACGCTTGGGCCTTGTTGCTGCAATCGTCGAGCTTGACAGTTAAACGCTTTGTTGCGGAATTTGCAGCGTGCCGCGTTTCTTTTTTTTTTTTTTGTTTTTTTGGGTTTTGTGGCACTTGATTGATTACCGGCCATTGAGGTCTGTCAGTTGCCGAACGAATCGATCGCACAAAGGCCCGATTTTGATTTAATGCCGCCCATGAAAATCTGCAAGTCTCCGACCGCAAAGCCCAACAAAAGTCAACAGGTTCAAATTCGCCAGTTTCAGCTTTTGCTATTGACAGTCTATTTACTTGAGGCCAGATCAAATTGAGGAGGTGGATGGGGAGAGGTGTGGTTTTAGCAATCAGCGATCTTTGCCAATACTTTTCATAATTCTGCGTGTTAAGTGCTATCTGAAAAGCCCGCTTCCGAATACCCTAGAAACATGTGTTCTTTAGTTGTTAATGGACCAATCTACAATCGAAATTAAGTTTTGAGCTAATGTCAAGAATTCTGATATACAGGATCGTTGCGAAATATTTCTAAAGCCAAATTTTGTCTTTAGCTTGAATAAGACTAAGCTTTTTCAAAGATATCAGCTTAAATGGGTCGCAAACACAAAGTTTTTTATAGAGTAGTGCTGGAAAGTCTGAAGAGTTTTTCTATCCTAAGATTACACTTTTAAAAAACTTTAAGCACCAAAGCACAAAGTTTAAATATTTGACAGAGCGGTTTGATCAAGTTATAAAAACTTATTTAGCGTACAAAACACTAGTAGCAACAACTTACTCGCTTTTCAACACTGCCACATCTAACCAGAATGCTAACTGCTGAAATTGAAATATACTCTTTACTTTGAAATTTATTAATAACCAAGCCACTTGCCCAAAAACATCCAAACAAAAGTCGAAATATATTTTTTCAAAAATGTTTTAATTAAACAACTAAGATGGCCGTTGGCTTTTTCTAACTATATAAGGTAGATGCCAATTCCGGCTAGAAATCAAATATAGCCCTCAATATCTATATGAAAATATTTATGGTAGGCAATATTTTCAGCAGAACGGGCAATTATAAATTAAAAATAGAATTGTTTCATTAACATTATAATATTTATGTGACAGGTCAAGGTATGAACCAACAGCTGAACCTATGGATGTGGAAAACTAGGTTCACGAACTGAACCTAGAGGCAAGAGACAAGTTCAAACCTTGGTTCTACCTTGTTTGTTATATTTGAATTGCGGTTTGATTTTGAATAAATTTTTAAAGTTTTACACTCTGTTCGAAATTGTGTACTAAGCAAGCAGCCTTCAAAGGTTTTACCAGCTTTACAACACTGTCACAGCCAAAAGCTCCACCATAACACTAAAAGTGAAGAACTTTAAAAGTGGTTGAAAGCTTTGGGCCAAATTAATTGCATTATCTGAATTACTTAAAAATAATCTAAAAGCCAGCACATATGTGTTTGCTTTCCAGTTTTAAGCGCCTATTAACCTGTTTTACAACACTGTCACACGCAACCATAAGCAAAAGCCGCGAGGAAGCATGGAAAGAGATTTAAAAGTAGCTAAAAGCTTTATGGTAAAATAAGTGCATCTACTGAATTATTTTTGAAAAATCTTTAAGTCAATGAAAGTATTCGATATGATACCATGCTACTAGGTTTTCAGCGCATACACAACACTGTCTAGCCTGTTGAAGAGGGAACGTAGGGAACGTAGCTGAAAGCTTAATCTAAAATTAATTTTAGAAAATATAAAAATAATATTTTATAAATTTGTAAGGCTCAACCAAATGCTTAAAATTCTTCATGATGCCACCCTCGACTTGTCCAAGTCAAATGGATTCTTAAATTTTAAATAGATTCGTCTATTCATACCAAATTGTATTGATCGGAGTGATTGATTGATCGCCGTGTGCTGGTGACCCGATTTGTGTGCACTTTGGCTTGCCAAATGCTTAGCACGAACCGTGGCAAGCTGTGGGGCAATGCTGCCTCCACGGTAGTCGGGGACACGTGTGCAGCCGACGCCAAGCTCGTTGATTATGAGCCCGACAAGCTCAGCTGGCTAATGGCAGCCATAAAGAATTGGTCGCCAGTCAATTGCTTTGCCCCAAAAGGTTGTTACATAAAAATGGCGCGCCAATAAATCGATCTTCACGATGTGGTCGCTGGCGGCTGGCTATTGTCAGAATCGCCAGAATCTAGAGTCTGGGCCGGAGGCTGAGTCAAGTGCGCGTGCCCAACTGCGTCTGCGAATGGAAGTTAGCAGGGAGTGCTGACTAAGGAGAGAGGCAGGGACGGGGAGGAGTTGACCAGGACGGGGCGTTGCCAGCAATAGATGGCAGCAAAGCGTACGAAATTGAAAGTTGGCATAATGAGGGCCAACTGCACGAAGCCAAGATCGAAACGAACGGCCGGCCGTAAACAGATTTGGCAATTACATCTGATTACACTGCAGCAGCAGCAGCCGCAGCAGCGACGACGTCGACAGCAGCAACAACTGCATCTGCAGCGGCAGCGGCTAGAATCTTAGATGCGCAGCACTCGCTGGCTGTATAAATAGCTGAGAGTGCGCCCAGTTGGAAATTAGTTAGTGCACAGCAGCAGCAGCAAGAGCAGCAGCAACAACAGCAACATCAGCAACATCAGCAACATCAGCAGCAGCAGCAACAAGAACAACAGCACCCACAAAAGATGCAATCGATACGTCGTTTGGTTCTGTTTGGACTTTTGGCCGTGTTGAGCGTCTGCTCCTTTGCCAAGCCCCATGGCTGGAGCAGCAGCGGTGGCGGCGGCAGCGGCTGGTCATCGGGAGGTGGCTCCTCCGGCTGGTCTAGTGGCGGCGGCGGTGGTGGTGGCGGCGGAGGCTGGAAAAATGGCGGCGGTGGCGGCGGCAGTGGCTGGTCATCGGGTGGTAGCTCCTCTGCGTGGCCCAGCAAAATAAGCATCAGCGCTTGGCCTTCCAGCGGCGGCGGAGGCAGCGGCGGTGGTTGGTCCTCGGGTGGTAGCGGATGGAAGAGTGGCGGCGGCGGCGGTGGCGGCGGTTGGCCCAGCGGCGGTAGCAGCAGCTCTGCCTGGAAAGTGAGCTCCGGCGGCGGCGGCGGCGGCCTGGGCACTAGCTGGTCCAGCGCATTGTCAAGCCTTTCCGGCTGGAAATCGCAAGCATTGTCGGGTCTGAGCAGCGGCTGGAAATCAGGCGGCGGCGGCAGTGGTGGCGGCTGGAAGTCAGGAGGCGGCGGCGGTGGTGCCTGGAAGAGCGGCGGCGGCGGCGGTGGCTGGAAGAACGGCGGTGGCGGCGGTGGCTGGAAGAGCGGCGGCGGCGGTGGCAGCAGTGGCTGGGCGAGCGGCGGTGGCGGCGGCGGCGGCGGTTGGTCCTCCGCTGGTTCCAGCAGCGGCTGGAGCTGGTAAAACCCTCTCGATAACGGAACATTGAGACGACATTAGCAACCAAGTGCAACTGTACATAACAAAAAAAAAACTATTTCTTATGCTATAACAAATCAATTTTTTTTTTAATTTTTTTAATCTGCCAATAAACATTTAAAACAATGTAAACTTTCAAGCGAGCATATTTGGGACTACAAAATTAAGCTTAAGATGAACAGTGTCGCCTGTGAAAACTGGTGGCGTCTTGAAACTAAGACAGAAATGTTGCCAAGACAAATATTAAGTCTAAGGCATCAAAGCCAGCTAGCTCCTAGCTGAGAGTGAACAAAACAATAATTGAGACTTGTAGCTTATGATTAAACGAAAAGTTTTAAGACAAAACTATCAACCGAACCTTTGAAATATCAACAGCAACTATAGCCTTCTACTAAAACTATACAGCATACATCCCGCTAGCAGCCTGGCGTTCAAGCCTGAATCAGGATGTGGTTCAGTTGCCTCAATGACCATGTCATCTAGATCGCTCAGCCATCAACACTACTATGTTAGTTAACCAGCAGAGACAAGTAAGCTTCAGCACTGGCTAAAACAGTTGGAGAAGTCGAGATTTTCCATTTACTCTCTATCTGAACAGCAGCAACACGATATGAATCCTTGGAGACATAGAAGCTATACTCCTCTAAACTATTTGGCTTAGTTCAGAGACTTAGTTCAGAGACTGTACAATTTTTGAGCTTAATTTTCAACCCATTTTCCAGTCAGCCGATCAATTTTAGATACATATGTTGTTGAAAGACTTGATAAGCTCGAGCTATGTTGGAATTCCCTGGGAGTACCCTTCTGGCTAAGAGGAACGTCAGCGGCTTTAGCAAAATGAACGTTTATTTATTAGTACAATTAAAAGTAGAGAGGAAGGAAAAGACTTGAGAAACTTTGGGTGTAACTAGTTGGGTAAGCGAACAAAAAAATTCAAAAAAAAAAGTTAAAGTATAGCACTTGTGGGTAATGCCTCTAGCTCTATATCTATGCCGTGGAACACATGTCAGCCGCAGGAGTAGCCGGAGTATTTACATTTCGTTTCGTCTTGCAGTTCTCGTTGTGTGTGGTTCGGGAGTTGAGCGTTTGGTTTGGTTGGTTGGTTGGTTGTTTTTACCAGCCGCCACCACCGTGCTTGCCACCGCCTCCACCGCCGCCGCCGTGCTTGCCGCCACCACCTCCATAGCCACCGCCGCCGCCACCGCCGCCGCCGCCATGCTTTCCACCGCCGTTACCGCCTTGCCAGGATACGGAGCTGCCGCGATTGCCGGCCAGGGACTTGACGCCGCCGCCACCACCGCCGTATCCACCGCCACCGCCGCCGCCGCCATTCTTTTGCCAGCCGCCCTGTCCACCGCCGCCGCCGCCGCCGCCGTTCTTTTGCCAGCCTCCCTGGCCGCCGCCGCCGCCGCCGTGTCCACCGCCACCACCATAGCCGCCACCACCGCCGCCTCCGCCCAGGAGTCCGGCCGAGGCAATGGCAAACATAAGTCCGCACAGGAATACGACGAGCAGAGCGTAGCGCATGTTGAACTGGAGTATCCTTTGATTGATGAACTGTTGCACTGAACTGTTGCTAAACGGTTGATTGCTGCCTGTTGACTGATGACTGTTGCTGTTGGTGCTGTTAGAACCTTAGCTCCACTGATGCCATTAGCAGGGCCAGCGCAGCGCTTTTATAGCGCAGCTGCCACGGAACAGTCTGAACTCCAGCTGAGTCATGGTGCACCCAAACACCGATTGGGCATGAAATTGAAGCAGTGCGCGATTTTTGCGGGGGCGACACGCCATTTTCAGCGACGCACCCAAAGGCTACTCGGAAGGCTGAGAGAATCGCAAGGCAAGTGGCTGTCGAAGCCAACGCGCTGTGCAGCCACTCAAGTGCGCGGCACACGCGGCGCATACGCAACGTTTATGCTGGGAATATTGCGCATACGCCACCGGATTCGCACCGAGAACGCCAACCACTGCGCTGGAAGCACTTGTAAACTGCTGAGCCATAGCGATGTCATTAATTACAAGCATTTTGCGGCAACACTTTTTGCCAGCAGCTCACAATTTGTCTTACAATTTACAATTTAAATTTTGTAATTTTTCATTTTTGTTTTCTGCATAATTAATTGCAGTTTTTTTTGTGTGTGCTGCACGACTCAAACACACGCGCATTCGACGGGGTTCAATGTCAATTACTGTGCAAACACACAACACACCAACAACAAACAACAAGCGGCAAACGCAAAACCCAAACTCAAACTGCAAGTCAAACCCAAACAGATGAGATGCCTGTTCAAGTGAATTACTTACCATATATTGCATCAACTTGTCCACTTGCTGTTGCATTCAACGCGTGCTGCAACTGCCACAGTGCAGCGGATCCCAAAGCCACAAATAACCCCACAGACAGGTCTACAAGACGACCTCAGCCAGATGAGCAAAAAATATGCTAGGCATCTGCTGCACACTGAACGCAGAACACACAATGCAATTCTCAGGTGTTTCTTTTAAGCCTGCTGATCATATTTTCTATATACATTTTAATATATGTATATAAAAATTATCTTCAGTGTCGAATTAATAATATCAGACCGAAGATCACAGTCTTTTCAACTTTGTCAGCTTGAACTTAATTGAATAAACCTAATAAAATAAACCTATTTCAACCGAACCGATTCGAGCCGGGAATTTCAATCAATTTTTGGAGCCTTAATCCAAGCCTTAACTACACAAAAGACAATCGAACCAATTTTTATGTTTAGAAAACAAAAAATCTGATTAGAATTTCTGGCAACAAGCATTAAATTTATCTAACCATACTTGGTAGATGTCAATTTTGGAGAAAGATCGAATCTAGCCCGAAATTTCGATATAAAAATATTGATGGCATGCAATATTTTCAGTAGAACGGGCAAACATAAATTGTAAATTAAATTGCTTTAGTAAAATATAAAAAATATAAAAATTGCAAAAAGAGAAAGTATATATTTATAAGAATAAATTTTTATGTTTAATCAAATGCACTGTTTGTAGATACAAAAGAATATGTTGGAGGTGGGCTAAGCCGTTCGACGCAGATTATTTCGTTTAGCTAGTATTGTACAACATGCAGGACTTGTGTCTCTGTACAGCACTGTCAAAGTGGGATAACTACAGAGGCTGTCATCGAGTATGGCTCCTGTGTGACGGACAGAATTCTTGAGAGACAGCACGCGGACGGAGACGCACTTCACTCTCAAGTTTATTGAAAAGGCAAGTCAGTTACATAAAAGAAAGCAATATAGACGCTGTTACTTAAGGCTCGTTATATTTGATATATATTTCGCATTTTGAAAAATGCCATCTGGTGCCACTGTGCCACTTACAAGAAACTGTGAGACGATGAGCCAACGAATGTTCCACGAGCATTGTGAATGCATAAGGTAATAGCAATAATTACAGCGTCAAGTTAGCATATTAATTGTTATGGGCCATAATTCAAATGTGCATTTATGTGAATTTTGAGATCAACGAGAACACAAAACCACCTCAAGTTCGGCTAACAGCTGCCCCCATCCCTGTCGGCTGGAACAGCTTGTTCTACGTCTCGATCTGCTTAGCGTTCCCAGGCTGGGGCTGGCTGCGGGGCGAACACAAAAACTTCAAGATGTTTCATCTATGTAAATCGTTGTAGTTTTTAATTGTTCTCGACTATGAAATGAATTATGGCAAACTGAAACGTGGCTGGCGAATGCTCGTCAATTATCATTCAACGATCCGGCGATGCATTCAAACAGAAATCATGCGATTTGTTGCTTAATTTACAATTTGCAATTTGTATTTGTTTAAAAAAAAATATTTCTTTATAAAAATGGGAAGAAAAAAAAAACTGTCTTATATACATATACGTAATATAATATTAAAAGTCAATAAAATCAAATCGAAAACGAAAACGAACGGTCCCAGAGTTGCCAGCGTTGCCTACTACCAGCCGCTGCTGCCCCAGCCATTGTTGCTACTGGACCAGCCGCTGCTGCCGAGGTTCTGGCCAGACCATCCGCCACCGTTGCTCCAGCCGCTGCTGCCACTGCTCCAGCCACCTCCATTGTTCCAGCCGCCGCCGCCACCGCCGCCAATTTTGATTACCTTAATTATCTTGGGCTGGGAGGACCAGCCGCTGTTCCAGCCGCTGCTGCTGATGCTGCTGCCCCAAGGATTTGAGCTCCAGCCGCTGCTGCTGCTGCTGCCCCAAGGATTCGAGCTCCAGCCGCTGCTGCTGCTGCTGCCCCAGGGATTCGAGCTCCAGCCGCTGTTGCCGCCGATCCAACCGCTGCTGCGTATCAGTCCTGCCGAGCTGCAGGCAAACAGAGCGCTGAGTACTATGAAAAATTTCATCCTGGAATCTCTGTTAATATGGTAGCTGGGCTTGGCTGCTCCTGTGTGTGGTGGGTGTGTGTTTTGAAGTGTGGCAATTGAATGATCTGAAAATGTACGCAGCGTACGCTATTTATCTAGATTTGCATAGCATCAAATCAGTGTAAAGCAGGGGAGCGGCTGAGCAGCTCAGTGGCTGAGCGGCTCATCAAGTCAAGAATCCACAAAATAAATCGTACTGACTGCTGGTGGGGGTTGCCCTGGCCTGGTCTTGGTCTTGGTCAGCTGATAAATAAACCAGCTGCGCACATATAGAAAGACGAACGAGGTAATTGCAGTTTATTAAACCACTTTGAGCGTCCGATTCTTGACCAGGGTCAACTACTTTACAGCACTTTACGACCGAGCACGGCAACAACAACAGCAGCAGCAGCAGCAACAACAGCAACAACAGCAGCATCTGCAGAAACCCATCACAAGCCCCGTGGCCCATGGGGCCCAGTTCATGTTGCCAAATTGCACATAACTCTTACGCTTGATGGATCATTTCCTCGCCAAGCTGCTGTCTGCTGGCTGCTGGCGGAAACAACGAGCAGCTCTGCTCGCTTAAGCCTAATCCGCAATATGCGGACAGAAGCTCGCAGCGGGTGACTCATTTGTCATGTTGGCAGCTCAGCCAGGTGAAGGGGCCCGCCAACTGCAACCACAAAACCACTGCGGCTCACACAGTAACCACCAAGTCAGGGCGAACACAGCCCAAGAATGTAATCCGTGATTTCAGCTTAAGATATGCAACAGCTGATATCCTTTCAGACCATATCAATTGATACAAACTATGTGAGAGAAATATTGATATTCATATTTCTATGAGTTCCAATCCAGGCAAGTGTAAATTTGTATATTTATTTTATATATTTTTTTCAGTGTCGGCAACTCGTTCTTAATCATCTTTTATGTAGTGCTAATGAACAGGATATGTTCCTTCGCATTTCAACATTCTCTTGCCTCATTGTAGTTGACCTCGCCCGTTCGATACACCAGTTTGCATATCTGATCGCAAGTGTTGGGCTTCACTGTACTCTGGCGCCTAGACGCTTGTTGCAATCTGTGTGGCGGCCTCTATTCCACAGATGTCAGTGAATTGTTTTTCTACTTACGTGTGTTTCTTTTTTGCATTTTGGTTTTTTTTTTTTCGCATAGGCATTATAAACAAAAATTAATTGAATTGTCAACGCTTAACATGCAAATTGTATTTGGGGGCCAATGGACCAAGATCAGGCCATATAAACACCAACAAAAAAAAACACAAAAACAAAAAAAAAAAAAAAAAAACAACTTACAAAAGTATGTGTACATAGAATTAAATATGAGTAGGTGTATTAGATGGAAAAAAAAATTACTTTGGAGCCGATTAGTTGCGATTTTATCGGCTTATCGCAGTCACAAAATTGTTAACGAGTTTCGAAATTCCTTAAGTCTAAATTAGTTTGTAAGTAATATTGGTTGCCTCGCAAAAGCAGCTTTGCATTCATGTTTTGGCATCAAATAATTTTAGAGGCAATCAAATATGGAATATGGGCGGGATTCGGTTGCGCTTCGAATCTTGGCTCGAATTGCCTCTATTTTTGGCCGCAAATGCCGCAACGTTCGAGCCGAGCTGTACGTGGCCCAGACGATTGTTTGCCATAGGGCTTGTTGGCATTGACCTCCAGGAAATAGTTGCCCTTGATGTTGTGCGGCACCGCATAGCCCATCGGCTGTTGCTCGCCAGTGCAGAGATCTTCGCGCAGCCGCTTGAGCGAGCTGCAGCGTGTGGCCAAGAAGTTGCGCTCGTTGCCCGGATAAACGGACTCCTCATAGTATTCCCAGGCGCGGTCATGCGCACAGGTCACCGACAAACAGCCCACGGGCAGGGGCTCCAGGCCGCCCGGATAAAAGTCCACATCGCCCATGGGATCGCGCTTGCCCAGCACACCCGGATTGCTGTGTATCACATCAATGAAGTGCGCATCGCCGCGCTGCAGGCCCGACAGAACTTCGCCCTCATTGAAACACGGCTTGGCCGGGTCCAGTCCGGTGATGCGCGGCACTGTTTTGCCCGTGAACTGCTGCAGATAGCGCCCCGCCGCGCCCACAATGTGTGCACCCAAACTGTGTCCAATCAGATGTATATTCTCCACCTTGACCACATCCAGCAGCTTGACCAGGCCCCGAGCAATATTCTCGCCAATCTCGTCCGTGTTAAAAGCCGACCATGTGTACAGGGTATCCACAAATCTGGCCACATCCACAGCCTGCATTATAATATATCACATTTGTTTCCAATTCTTTCAATAATGATACAAATAATAAAAGACAGCTCTCATTCCGGCTATTTGCATCTAACATCCAAGCTCGTAAGTTTCATTCCCAGGAAATTTTAAAGTGTATGCGACCTTAACATTCAGCTAATTTTAGTTTGCTGAATACAAAATTTGTTATTTTCTTCTGATTGAAATATTGGAAGTTCAAAGGCTATCGAGAAACGCGTCATAAGTATTCCTTGGCATTGATTGTTCTGATGACTCGACCTTGTCACATTGTTGATAAGAACTAAAACGCTTTGGTTTAGGCAACAATCAAAAGTGATTAAGTGGGAAACTAAACTAAGCAATAAATGTGCACAATTAAAGGTGTTGACTATAGACTATTGGAATCGGAAAAAATTGTGTATCTGATCATTTGATCAACATTGTTGCGTCTAACTACAAACTAATGACTACAGATTCATGCCACCCAATACTTCAAGTATTTTATGGGCTTAAGTTCAAGTTGTGCCTTAAATAAGTTTGTCAACGATTTCGGGCTTGTAGTTCAACAGATTTATATACCCTGTTTCAGTTTTGAGCAATACACTGTTCCCACAGAGAAGAAGAGTATATGTAAGCCTGTTTATTAGCTTCAAACTTGCATACTCTGTTCACAGAATTAAAAGAGGGTATATTCGTTTTGAACAACATTCATATGGCTATCCACCTCTGCATACTAATACAATATTAACGACTTCTAAAATATATAAATTAGTGTATTTCATTAGCCAAACCTACCTGGGGGTGGCATATTGCAGTTTGATAGCTAGACACTCTTACGGAATACTCAAGAGCTTCTTTGAGCTTCTAAATTTGCATCAGCCCGCATTAGGGTTAACATTTTGGGAAACAGCCAGCTCATAAGCAAGAATACTCGTTACGAGCTGTGAGCAGAATATCGAGCAGTCGCCTACACCCGTTCGACTGCTGCCTACATTTAAAGAGAAATTCCTAAGGAGAGATCAAATTGGGGTGCTGCTCCTAGAGTATACTTGCCCAGCCGACTTTCTCTCCCGGTGCGCGAAACTTGACTTAAACAGAGTATGCTGCAGTCGAAACTCACCACAAAGTTAACATCGCCGCGACAATTGTAGGCCTGGGCCAATTGCTCAATGGTATCCGAGTCATTGACGGTGGTTGTCCAGCCGGTGGCAAGAATGACAACACCTTTCTTTGGGTCGAATTGCGGACTGTGCCACATGGCTTCCGCTTCGAGGAGCGGAAAGTTTGTCTTGTTGCAGGCGGTGCGCAACTGGAAGTTCATTTGGTTAATGTCCGGCGTGTACCTTGACCTGATCTTGTTGGAGCTAAGCGCCTGCGAGCCTGCAAGAAGCCGTAGTCTTATGGCTGGAGATTAGTTGTTCCTCTGGTACTCACACAAATAGTTGATGGAGCTGGAGGCAAACTCAAAGGGATAGCCGGCAATCAGATTTTTGCTGCCCTCGAGCAGGCCCTGCGGTGTGGGCAGCATCTTCGGATCAATAATGGTGGAGCCAACGCTCCGCAATGATCCAACCACATCGGGCACCGTCCACTCGATGCCCTGACCCAGCGCTGCCAACAGCAGCAGCAGCAGCAGGTGCAGCAGACAGTGCTTCAGATTCAGATTTGGGCTTTCCATTCTAGACGACAGTTGCGAGCGCAGTGAATGCCGAAAATTGTGCGGAACGAATATTTATAGGCCCGTTTGTTGCAGGCGCACACAGAGAGAGTAAGTGCGAGCAGTACACCCCATATAATACACGGAGAGAGTGAATGAGAAGAGTGCGGTACGAGTAAACAACAATTCAAGTCGTGTGACCATATAGGTGTATTTCATTCGCATCACAGTAATCAGATAAGGTGCACTTGTCTCTTAATTAGATTCAACAGTAACATTCCCTCGCACACTCGCCACTTGCCACTCGCCTTAGGCAGCATTTCCCCTATCGAAATGCATTTAATTTAAATACAAATTGTTTTTAATCTCAATCCGAATCGAAGCAGTTGTCGTTCTCTGGTTAACCCGACGAGCTGTCAGCGAGCTTATGAAATATATCGAAAATATGCACCTCGTATTCCTGTATGGCAATTCTTAACTGAATTCATTTTCAATCAGAACTGTTCCTCTTGGTATAGAGTCTATAGCATACTCATTCACCTCGACTCGTCTCGAGTGCTCAAAACTGAAATAATACGCTGATTGCGAATAAACAAAAGTAACAAAATATCAGAGCTTTTATGAGAGTGGTCAACCTTCGCGACAATATCGTTGTTACTCCACAATCGCTAGGGTATATGCTTTAATATGCGCTAGCTACGAGTATCCCATATTAATGGGGGTATTCCGCAACTATTATTATGCTGCAGATGTACGACTGCCGCCCCATTTGGAGTGCCCCGAACACAGACGTCACAAAGAACCAGTTGACATCAGCGCACTCCCGAATTCTCGAGGCGCAACACGAGTGCCGGCCCCTAAAGCTGATGAACATAAATACCCTGTCTAAAGTTCTAGTCAGAGTTTAGTAAATCATTTTTAAAAATTGTTAAGCTCAAATGCTGTTAAAGCTGGGCGCAGTATTTGAATTGAAATTGAACTTTTATGTAAATAGGCGACATATGATCAATTATGGCAGGGTATTCGTTCGTTTGGGTTGCACAACATTTGCATGATTTGGTATTTCCCATTGCTAAGTGCTTGAAATCAAAACGAATTATCAAAAATTTATTTATGACATGCAATTGCCGGGTTCCATTTGATCTCGCTTACATCAACATCTGTCGATTTATTTGTTTCTATTTCTAGTTATGCAGCAAATAATGTTTAAAAACACAATCACAACGTTTAATTGGACTTACAATCTAAATCCCTTTGACCGACTTTAGAGTCACAACTAATTGAACTAATTGACATTCTGTATCTTGATGCTTAACTAATATTTAACTAATAAGTATTGTATTAATATGCAACAAATTTCTAACGACTGCAGTTTATACTGGAAAATTTAGAGCATGTTGATTAAATCAGGAGGATCATGAAGGTCTGACTACAGTCTTGTGTACAACAAATCTCTGGCTAGAAGAGCGGCATTTGAGTCCAAATGGATAGACGAGCAGACGGACGGACAGCACTTTAATATACTCTCTTTCCTCTATGAGTCGAGTCCTCTTAAATCCTCAACTATTCTATATTATTTTAAAAAGAACTCATAAATCTATTTGGTGAATCTACATTTCTACATTTCGCTTGAAAACATAATAGCTTTGTGTTAAATATTATTTAGGTAGTTTTAGGTCCCGTGTCCCAAATACATTTAATACCGCAGCAAGTGGAAATAAACTGAAAAATAATTGTGCGAAGGTCAGAGCGCACTTCTTACTTTTTCCAGGTAGCAATATGAAGTAGCCTAAGATTACTTTGAGCTTGTTTCTAAATAATTACATTTCTATAGAAAGAACTGTCCGCAGTTAGACAATGAAATAAATTTCAGAACATTTTAAAAACAATACTCAGATAATGTGCACCTATTTTGTTTTAATATTCATTCATTTGGTTATCGGTTATAGTTGGATATATATGGAAAAAAAAAGAGAGAGAAAAAAGTATATATTTTGAAATACTTTAGACACCTTTAGGACTCAGCATTGCAAGTGCCGCAAGTGCTTTGGGCGGACGTAAAGGTCTCCAGGTCGGCATGCGTGCCATAGGGCTCGGCTGCATTCGCATCCACATAGAACGTGCCCAGGTCTGTGGCCGCATAGCCCATTATGGCTGGGTTGGTGTCGCTGCAGGTCTTGCCTGTCCATAGATCCACATAGTTTTCACAGCGTCTGCCCAAAAAGTTACCCGTATTATTTGGATACACAGACTCCACATAATAGTCAACGGCGCGCTGATGCGAGCAGCTCACTGCGCTCACACCCGAACAGCCGCTCTTGAGGTGGGACAAGCCCTGCACAAAGAAGCTGCCGTCGCCAGTGCTATCGGCAGTGCCTGCAATGCCCGGATTGGAGATAATGGTGTCAACATATTTGGCGTCGCCGCTGCGCACGCCCGGCAGCTCGTTGCCATCGTAGAAACACGGATTCGCCGGATCCAGGCCGGTAACGCGCGTCAGCATCGATCCGCCCGTTAACAACTTGTAGTTGCGACCCGTCGAGCCCGCTATCTGGGCGCCCAAGCTATGACCTATTACGTGTACGCTCGTCTCCACATATTCGCGATCCAGCTGGAGCAGCGCCTGGGCAACATAGAGCCCAATGGCCTCCGTGTTGAGCGCCGACCAACTGTACAGGGTAGTTATAAAGTTCGCTGCATCCAGCACCTGTCCAAGGGTATTTACATAGTTTTAAAATCTAGAATGGTTTTTTTTTTTTTTTGTGAGATCAAGCCAGAGCGAATACTTTTTGAAATTATTACATTTTCCATCTAGTTCATCGCGTGCGAAAGTTTTGGGAATGCGTTTGTTGTGAATGCGAACTGGCTCACTTTCTACATAGGATCAGTTTTATCTAAGATCAGGGCCGATCAGCTGATCACCCCAAAAACAAAATTGTTCGGCTTTAAACTAATACATTTCGAGTAAATCAGCTTTAAGGTAGAAATAAACTGGGGACCTAACCAACGCATTTATCTAACTCTATTTAATAGCTGCCCAAAATTGGCAGAGCCCAAATTTAGCCCGCAATCTCTATATGAAAATATCTACGGCTTGAAATATTTTCAGTAGAGCGGGCATTTGTGTTGTTTGTGACAAGTCTAGCTATGAGCCAAAATCTGAGCTTAGGAATATGCATTTGAAACCAGGCTACCAAACAGGCAGAGAATACAAATCGAACCAACGACTTCTACTTTCTGGGCTTGCAACTAAATCTTCAAAATAATTGAAGATACATGTACTTAATCTACTGAAAAAACGGTTGATTTTTGAATTTCTACCTAACGATTATTATAAAGAGCATTGCTTTCTAAGTTTACTTTTCACTACTTTTCGTTCTTATTCAAAGCAAAGAAATTGAACCTGTTAGCAATTCACACAAAAAGATGAACTCACCACAAAGTTGGAGTCATTGCGACAGGCATATGCCTTGGCCACAGGGCCGCTGTTCGAACGATCGATGGATGTGCCCCAGCCGGTAATGAAGATGACTGTGGGTCTGTCCTGATGGAAGCCTGTCGTATTCCAGAGCTCCCTGGCCTGGGTGAGTGGTATGCTAATATTGGTGCAGGCATCTGGACGCAGCTGGAAGTTCATGAGCGACATATCTGGTATGACTTTCGGCTGCACCAGGCCCAGATCCATGATGGTGCTGCAGATGTACGTAAGTGTTGAGACGCTGATGTCCAGCGGCAGGCCGAATACCAGGCCACGCAGCTGATTCTGCAGCTGGTTCAGCTGCAAGCGCCGGGCCGCCGGACTCCTTCTGGCCGCACCAGTTGCATTCTGTCCACTGGCCACGCTCAGCGTGACGAGCAGCGGTAATAACCAGGCCAAGGGCGTCATTCTATTAGGGGACGACTGTTGTTAGCTACGCCAGCGGCACACCCTTTTATAGCCCTTGACAATGGGTCAAGCGATTATGTTAATATTTATCAAAGCCAAACAACAGCCCTCAGTCTCCGGTCTTCTGCATGAGAATTTCGCTTAATCAGCTGCTCCAGTTACAATGCACACACATCACGTGTCCAGCTGTTTAATAACCAGGCCAACACAAATCTAATTGTCTAAACGCTTGCCCAACGCTCCGCAATCAGCGATCACCAATCTCCGATCCCCGATACCCGATCAACGATCACCAATCACCGATCAGCGATCAGTTCATTCCCAGCTTAGCTACTGGCCCATTGCTGCAACTCATAGTGGGTGCTCCCGACTTGGCCAAAGAAAAAAAAAAATTAATAATAAAGGCAGCAACGAACAAGAAGCAAGTAAAAGTGCTCAAATCGGGACTGCTCGACCAGACGACACCCTCTACCCAGAGGCAAACTAAAAAATCTAGCTGCCTTCAATACATGCATCTATATATCTTTATAGACACACACACACACGCACGCTTGGCTCTACTCCACAGGACATGCGCTCTTTTATAAATCGGTGCTTATTGTCCGATCCTCATTAAAGTTCCAGGACTTAAAGGTGGCACGCAAATATATATATGTATGTTATATAGTTTTCTTCAATTTTAGTAGGAAAGGAAAGGAGGTAGGTATTCAAACTGTGAGAGATTCGAAATCTGTGTACGCTTTGTTAAATAATATATCTACTTAAACTAAAATCGATCATTTTAGACACCGATCAAAAGCTTGTGCATGGTACGCGATCAGCGGACGGACAGGTGACCCATAAACGGACAGAGAGTCGAACGGACAGTCAGACGAAAGGACAGGCAGATGAACCTCGTTTTATCGACTTAGCTCGTCATCCTGATTAAGAAAATACATAATATAAGTACTTGCTGCTACTGCCTGTTACGTACACCTGCACAAAAGTGACATACCCTTTTCTTCAGCTTAGGGTATAAAATTGAAGTATTTGCGTTAGGAAATGCTTCCAACGAAATGCGAATTAATAACAAAGTAACTCATTGGCGGCGGTTGCTACTGTTGTTGCTGTGCTTGTGGGTGTACGCGCAGCAATCAGTAGCAACAACAGCAATAGCAACAGCGACAACAACAACGACAACAATAACAACAAACACAACAACTTATTACATTGGTAATTTGTGTGCGCAAAAGATTTGTGGGGCGCCCCACTGCCCCGCTTGACTTGCTGCTATTATAATTGTTGCTGTTGCTGTTGCTGTTGCTGTTGCCGTTGTGACTAGTTGTTGCTGCTGCTGCTGGCACGCTAGCAGCAACAGCCGCCGGCCGCACTGGCAACGGTAAGTGGTTGCTTGTAGCTGTTACACTGGCAACGTGTCAAAAGATTTGATGAATAAAGGTGCAAGCTAATTATAACACTCACCATGTATTCACTTGTATTCACTTGTATTCGCTTCACCTAATTTAAGCAGCCAGCGAGTGTTTTGTGCATTGCAATTTCGTGTGTCTCGATTACCTGTGTATAAAAAGTAAATTATTTACATATATTTAATTTTAATTAATAACTATTATTCACTATATATTTATATCACCATATGCGCATACGATTCGTATTCATATAGTTCAAAGTGCTTTCTAATAACGAGAAATGTTTTGCAATAATTAATTATCATTTTATGAGTACACCAAATCATATTCTGTTTGTGTGCTCCATAAACATTTGATTTGAATAAAGAGTAAATAAAACATAATATATGATTCATATTCATATCGGATTATAGGCAATTTCTTTGCTGCAGAGAAGAGAATAGAGAGATTGTGTTCTCAAGAGATATTGTGTTCTCAAAGGGGAGGCAGAGATTGGGCAATATTGTCTTTAGTCTCATGTCTGGGACTTTGAAATAAAAATATTGCCAGCTGACTTACATTTTGTTCTTATATGCTTTCATTTAAAATAATAGTGATAATAATAATAAAAAATGTTAAGTCTAAAAAAAAACGCCAGATACTAATAATTCGCACATTTTCTTTGGCAATGGCAAATTGTTTGCCAGCCACATTAAAGATAAAGTGTACAAAGATACATACCTATATGTATCTGTGGCCATGCATGTGTATCTGTTATTTCTGCCATTGTGACTTCTGCAATCTTTCAGATACATGTGGCAAGTGAGCGCGCATTGTTGGGAGTATTCAACTAACGTTTAGGCTTTCGGTGTATCTGTGTTGTTGTTGTTTTGGTTGTTGCAATTGCATTTGTATGTGTGTGCGACTGCATTTTGGTCGCTCTGCTAACGCTTTTAATTGCCACCCCAAAGGTGGTTATTGCCGACGCTCGAATGCGTGGCATTTATTATTTGCACAGGTTGCATCACAAGCACATCGAATACTCTTACTTTTCCATATATGTCTTGGACTCCCGTTCGAGCTACCCTCGTCACTGGCATTGCTGTATAGCTATTTTACGCTCTTGGCCATCCGTTTCCGTTTTGTTGATCAACTCAATTAGCTGCCACTTGGCGTGTGAGTGCGAGTTGGTCGTGTGCAGGCTTGTGGTTGCTGCTGCTGCTGCTGCTGCGGCTGCTTCCGCATCGATGGTGCCTTGAAAAGATCAGCATAGACAGCAGGCAAAAAGAAAAAAAAAGACAATGATTCGATTATGCAAGCTGGCGCAGGCCTGCGCGGCTGCGCGCCTGCATAGAACTGGGGCCAGCCGCAAATATTACGTATACGCACATTGCAACAGCTGCTGCGGTGGCGTTGAGCTTGGTGTCGGCGCCTCCTATAATTGCGGCTATTCAATGGTCAGCCGGCTGGCTTAGCTTGGCTTGGCTTGGCTCAATTGCTGGCCGCCTGGGTGAGCTGCCCGAGCCGACTGCGCAGGCCGCGTTGTCCGCGCTGGCGTATACGTAATCTGCACAATAAGTGCACAAAATTATCAGCTGCAGCTAAGCGGCCGCCTCGTTGCCACCGTCGTCGTCGTCGTCGTCGTCGTCGTCGTCGTCGTCATCGTCATCGTCGGCAGATGTCCATTGCAACATGGATGGCCCAGCCAAGCCAAACAAAAGCGTAGCTCAATATTGTTGCTGTTGCTGTTGATGTTATTGTTGTTGTTGCTGCAGCTGGAAAATGCAGGAAAATGTGTGCCAAAAGCCAGCGTATAAATGCCAGAGCTCTTGCCGAAAAGAAAATAGTCGACTTGCACCATTTCGCCGCGTCGGTAACCACAAACATAAAAGCTTCAGACAATCCACAGTCAACATGTTCAATTGGCGTCTCAAACTGATCCTCTTGCTGGCCCAGGCACTAAGCGGTCAGGCGGGCTACATTGGTGGCGAGCTGGCAGCTGGCGTCCATTCGGCTGGACTGCTGGGCAGCTATGCGGGCGCCTTGAGCGGCGGCGAGGCATTGTCCAAGCTGGATCTGGGCGCCAGCAGTGTCCATGCGGATCATGAGCAGCTGGGCGCCCTGGGTGAGCACCTGAGTGAGCACAGTTTTCCGGCGGACTATGGCAGCAGTGATGCGGGCGTCGAATATGCCGAGGCTAGCGAACATCATGAACACCACTACGAGCCGGAACCGGAGCTGGAGCTGGAGCTGGAGCAGCATCATGACGAGCAGCCGGTGCCCGGCATTGATCACGGCAAGGGCGCCTTCAGCTACAGTACGCTCTACGAGTTCAAGGATAGGCAGGAGCACGAGCAACACCAGCTGGAGCACCAGCTGGAGGAGCAGCATATCGAGCAGCAGCTCGAGCTGGAGCATCAGCAGCATGTGCTCGAGCACCAGCTCGATTCGCACTAAGCCTGTGATAGATATACGACATTTCTACTAGCTAAATTTTTTTTTTCCACCCAATATATATACATATATCTTCTTTTTTTTTTCAATAAATCAGCTAAGTTTGTCATATGTGTATGTGTGCGTATCCTGGTCATCCTGTCTAGCGCCCATGGGACTGTACACGTTGCGGACTGTGCACCTGAAAGTCCAGATTATCGCTGACCGTAAGACGCGGCTCCGCTCCATGGAGGTATGGGTGGAAGGAGCCGCCGCTGCCGTGGCCTGAGAGCTCCAAATGCGTTAGTTCATCGGGCACCAGCTGCAGCACGGCGGAGCTGATGTGCATTATCGGGCCATAGTCTGTGGACGTGTGTAACAAACACAAATGACAATTAATTACGATTCCTGCATTGCGCATACGCACCATTGCCCAGGTGCTGGCCATCGCTGCTTATCCGCTGCGGTGATTGCGGCTGCTGCTGCTGCTTCTGGTGGGGCAGGGCTTCACCTGCCGCCAGCGCCAGCAATAGAAGCATTCGCATCAAGTAACCGCCACGCTTGCACATGGTGTCCACAGGCAACTGTCAGCCAAAGACAATCAAATGTTATTTATATGTTTGCTCAGCGGATGTGTCGCGTCTTGGCTGAACGCCCATTGGGGTCCCAGCGTTGACATCTTCTGTCTGCACCAGCCCCCCAACGCTCGCGAACGCTGATCAGCTCGTGAGAATTCCAGATACTAGCTTACAAGTGGCTGCCTAACAAACATGCCAATAACAAATCGCTTGAATGCCAATAACAAAGGTCGAGTGACAATTAAAATATAGAATATACGACTGACAAATGCCCTGGCAAAATTAGAATCTTAATGTTAAATAAAATAAATAGATCAAATTTAGCCCGCAATTTCTATATGAAAATATTTATGGCTTGCAATATTTTCAGTAGAACGGGCAGCTGTAAATTTAAAAGTCGAATTTAATTAACACACAAATCAAAATTAAACAACAAAAAAATAATAGAATTCGTTTCAAAAGAGTTTGACTTCTGTTTATATATTATTATTATCATAGAAATAAAGTTCTTTAAAGATTATTAAAGAGGACAACTTATGGGAATGTTGAGTACTCCTTGAACTAGCTGTCCGGTTCATTAAAATGTTTTTGCATACATTTCAAGTATTCATTCTCACTTCGATTCTAATCCACAAAGGCACATATTTTTCTAAAAATTTTCATTATTCTTGTTTTGAAAAAAACCAAAAAAGAGGAAAATTCTTGAATTATTCAAGCGGTATGTGGTGAATAATTGCCGCGGCCCGTTCCTATTACAAATATGCCTTCACCCGCATGTAGCAAAAAAACGATGGAGAACATTAAGAGTAGCGATGCCCGTGGATCTGGTTCGCTGAAGAGGAAACATAGTGCAGACGATTGTTCCATAGCTGCCAAAAAACGGAAGACTTGCCCCAATAATGTGCGTCCGTTTAAGTTCCAATTCGCGCAATCCCGGCTCCAGTGCGATAGCAATGCTGCCGTTCGTAACCCCAATATGCATCGTATTTAGCCACTGAAGCGTTTACCGTACCTGGCAAACTTTAAGCAACAAATATAATTGTTTTTCAAATTGATGGACGTGAGTGAACGTTAAAACACATTCAACTTTTAATTGGAATATACTGTTCAACCATCCCAATCTGCTATGTATAATCTTTTGCGCGAATAATTGTAAGAGGCAAAAGAAAGCCTTCCCAATTCCCTTATTATTCCTGATCAGGAAGATCTAGCTATAGATATCGATAAATGCCAGTTCCGAGACATGGTTTTTCAATTAACTCGAACAGTACCAGAGCAAGCTTTCATAAACTTGGTATGTAGATTCGAGAATATCATATAGATTAAAACTATTTCACTTTTTGGAAATTTCCCCTATTTCCTGCAAAGCTGAACTAAGTTTAAAGCTAGAGCCTTGTGATTAAACTAACTTATTTTGAAAGCTGAAGCATTGTTGATTTGGATTGATTTGTTAAGGATATTATTTTGGGACTTAAAAAAACTTAAAAATAGGTTGCTCCATCGCATATCAATTATTGATATATTTCCTTAGCAATAATTATCGAACTTATAACAAGTAATTTCAAACACGTTTTTATATTTGTAACTGGAGCCTTTCGTATATTCGTCCAGCCACCGCATATCATACATATATATTGTTTATATCTTGTTCAATTACTCAATTCGACAGCATACAGATATTGTAAGATGATTTTTAAACATTTCCTCACCGATTTCTACAGGTTAGAAAAATAATTCAACTTTGACGTTTCGATTTTATTTATAGACATTGCCATGATCTATGTCGAAATGGCACTAGGCACGGCCCGCAACTGTCCCATTGAGCTGGACGTCATTGTCATTGGCAGCTCGGCAGCTTGGCAGCTTAGTTAGCATCCGCAGTTGATCACATTTAGCAGTTAGGTGATAAATTGTCTGATATGTTTAAGGTGTTGTCTATATGTATGTAGAACAACGCGAGCTCGCCTATGGCCCAAAGCCCAAAAAAACATATAAAAAAAAACCCCGAAATAACAAAAAAAAAAAAAAAAAATCATTTTGGGACACAACGGCTGTGATTCAGGTTCTCGATTATATAACCATATAAGGTCAAAACAATTTGCGGCTATTTGAAAAGCGTTCATTGAGGATATTACACAATAAGCTGACTTTTTATTCTGGCCAAAAAAAAAAGCACAGCATTAGATTGTAGATCGAAATCAGGAAAGCAAACAAATTGGGAGAAAAATTATGCGTCGTTTGTATTTAAAACTAAACAAAAAAAAAACAAAAAAAATTAAAAACAGTTGAGTAAGTTTAGGTGCACAGATCGCAGGCTAGATAGTTTAACAAGTCCGTTTGGGAGGGAGATTGGGGAAGGAGAGTTCAGGGATTGACGCCAAGCTTAGCAGCCGGCCGCCAGTTTCTCCCAGATGCCGCCGCTCTTCCAGCCGCCATTGTTATAGCCGGAGCCGGAGCCACCGTTCTGCCAGCCATCGTTGCTGTAGGCTCCTGCCGAGGAACCAGCGTTGCTCCAGCTGGAGACTGCAGGCGCGGGTGCGCCATAGACTGGGCTGGGCACACGGTTGATGCCGCCGTTGTCCTCATCGACAATTACCTTGATGGTCTTCACGTACTGCTGGGGCGCGGGCACACGCACCACGGGCTGCGGGGCGGGCACTGAGTAGGTGATGGGAGCTGGCGCTGGCGCTGGCAGCACACGCACCACGGGCTGTGGTGCGGGCACTGAGTAGGTAACTGGAGCGGGCTGGGGTGCGGGCACTGAGTAGGTAATCGGAGCGGGCTGTGGTGCGGGCACTGAGTAGGTAACTGGCGCCGGTGCCGCGTATGTAACTGGAACTGGAGCTGGTGCTGGCGCACTGTAGGTCACAGCAGGTGCCTGAGAAACGGCGCTGGAGTAGCTGCCCGCATTGGCATAGCTGCTGCTGCCGCCATAGCCGCCGCCATAACCTCCGCCATAGCCGCCGCCGTAGCCGCCACCGTAGCCGCCGCTGGAACGAGCAAAGCTCTGGGGCTGCTCCACCACTTTGATGACCTTGATGACCTGCTCGTTGCCGCCGCCGTAGCCACCGCCATAGCCGCCGCCATAGCCGCCGCCATAGCCGCCGCCATAGCCGCCGCCGTAGCTGCTGCTGCCGCTGCTGCTGGCGCTGCTGCTGTAGCCGCCGCCATAGTTGTTGTACACTGGACGGCTGGGCTGTGTGTAGTAGCCCTGGTTGTAGCCACCCGAGTAGCCGCCGCTGCCATAGCCGCCACCGCCATAGCCGCCGCCGCCATAGCCGCCGCCGCCGCTGCCGCCACCGCCACCGCCGCTAATGGCCCTGAGCAAAGCCAATTTGGCGCCCAGGAAGGCTTGGGCGGGCGTGCCGAGCGCCAGCAGGGCAACTACAATACAAGCGAAGAGCTTCATCTTCAATGGAATGCGCACTATTGGGGGGGTTGCGTCTACTGCCTGGACTAGACAAAACTCAACTGATGTCCCCAGATGGCGATACGCACAAATTTATAGGCCAACGCCAACAGCCAGCGTCGCGACTGAGTCGCTGTCCCTTACCCAATAGGTAAGTGTGTGTGTGTGTGTAGTTCTAATAATACAAATCTTATGCTTTACTCTGGACCCGATCGACAGACGACGTCAACGTCGACAGCACCAGCAGCAGCAGCAGCAGCAGCAGCAGAAGCCAGAGCAGCGACACTTTGGAGCTCATCAAGCTGTTTGCTTAATTCATAAATAGTTACTTATGGGCCACACCAAAGCGGCAAAAACTAAGGCGCGTCCCCAGCTAACTGGCTATCCATACAATCATTCATCCAGCCAGCCAGCCAGCCATCCATCCATCCATCCATCCATCCATATAGCTATCTCTATGTATGTAACTATATTAGCTATCCAGCTATCTGTCCATCTGACTGTCTGTCTGTCTGTCAACTCAACTACTTAACCATAAACTGAGATATTTTCTCACCTCTCTGCGCAAATAAACTTGGTTTGCCGTCAGCCGTCAAAACGATTCGCAAGAAGCGCAGGTAATTCCCAAAATGCCATTACACTCAAAGAAATAAGCGGCATTAAAATGCATCTATATATAAATATTAACTAACTTTTTTACGCTTCAAATAGATATTAAATATATACCAATGTATTAAATAGAATAAACCCAAAAGCAAAATTTATTATTAATCTCTATATGTATATATAAAAATATATATATTTAAGTTTGCAGTGTACCTTCTGGGTTCGATTCCTGATAAAGATTGATAGCATTAAAAGTATGTACAATATGCTTAAGAGCTTTTGCAAGTTGAAAACTTTCTATTGTCAATTTTTCTTATTTTCATCAATTTTTATTTACTTTGTTCTAGTAATTAATAATTTCATATTCTTTTCTGCTTTTTTCTAACGAAAATGACAAAGTTTGATCAACCATGAAAACTTTTTTTTTTCTATTCATTTTTAATAAAAAATTATTTTGTTTATTTTTATATGAGCAATAAACATTTTATTTGCATTTCACGCTCGATTAGGATTTTCCCCTGGCACCCAATTGCAAGCAATATAAATATATATGTTCGTATGTATATTTTTGAGCAGTGCACACATGTATTCACATATAGACCCGTGTATACAGAGGAGCCCGTACTCATGCTCACGCTCATATTGCCGTTCATTCAGGCCAGATCTTGGGTCTGGCTGCACGTAGCTGCCGCTTCTCTTCAGCTTGGGTTTTGGCTAAATTGTGACTCTTTGTGCTAACCGAACGAGCAGAACGCTGTGCAAACAGATCCCAAGTCAACTGAAAGTTAAGTCAGGTCTCAAATGTAAGCCACGTTCGCATCTCATAAAGGGCGCGTTTGGCTCTGCCATGAACCCGGGCCTAAGGCCCATTAGTTACGTTCCGCTGGCGGCTCGTTTTTGGCCAAAACGTGTATGCAAATCGATTCGCATAACAATTTTACAACAGATGCCGCTGGGTTCTATGCGACGCGTGCAACATTTTCATAACTTTAACAAGCCTCAGAAATCAACAGGTTTTATTTTAAGCTCAGTTTACAGAAGTGCCATAACAAAAGCATGGACCTGGCTTAGTTAATCGCAGTAATTAGTGGCAACGCGCACTGAGACCAAATAAATTTAGCCTACGCATTCAAGACATAGCTGACAGACTTTTTGATATAGCGTCTGAGATATGAGAAACTAAAATCTGCCAAAACCAACACATTTTATTGTTTGTTGTCAATCCAGCCATGTCCGTCTGTCTGTCTGTCTTTGTGTCCCTCTGTATGTCCGTTTTTATGAACGCGTCGAGCCGCGGAACCTATAGGAGCTGGAGACTTCCACGTAAGTCGTCCTATTGCAATTCGAGTTTGTTTCCGATGGTCAAACACTTTGCAACTGTCTTTAAACAAATCTCTTAAGATGTAAAGGCTAAGGTCCCCAAGCTAGACATATAGCTTAGAAAATACTAATCTTTCATTTTATAGCTAAACTTAATGCATACATTTCCAATGATTGTATAAAACCAAGGCACATACAGATTATCCGTGGTTCGATTTTAAATGTTATAAAAAACTTCCATTTTAAGCTTTTTATATTAAATCAAATAATATTAAGATCAAAATATGTTTCATTTGCTTGGCCCTGCTTAGCTCTAAAGTTTGGCTCATACTTAGTATTAAATAAATAAAATAAGCTCTATTCAAAGCGGTTCGTTTCAATAAAGTTTCTTGAAATATTCCACTTCGGACTGCAATGGATCTAAGCAAATATAGGAGTTACTCCATCAGAAAAGAAAAAGCCCAACTAGAAGTTAGGCCATTCGAAAGCGTTCAGCTTGTGGCTTTTAAACAGCTCTGTCATTTGCCGAACTTGGCAAATATGAAATCATAGCCAATTTACACATTGCCGGATTTCAAGTTTTTAGCCGCAGCAAAGACTTGAGGCAATTTGTAGCCAAGTTGCGTACTTTATTCTTGGGCCACTTTTTTAGTTTAGGTTTTTTTTTTTTTTTGGGGTTTGGGTTTGGCTATGCCCGCTTGGCACTTCATTACCATTTGACTATTGTGAGCTAAGTGAATGTGTCCACATTGAGTACGATGCTGCGGCTGCTGCTGCTGCTGCTGTGCCGGGCGTCTATGGTCTAGCGTCTACTCTCAATTTCATTTCTCGCCCGCCCATTCACATTGAAGGTCAACGCATTGTGGCACATCTTGGGCTTGGGCGTATTGTTGGCCGAGAGATTTGGTAATCGCCGCATTATGAAACTCAATTGTGCGCGTATCGAAAACAAATATCGTCTTTAAAAATGCTACGCATAAAATCTACTTTACATGGCTCGCTTTACATATTTAATTTCTTACAAAGTTCTTTCTTGTTATATTACATTCGTTTATATTAAAAAAAAAAAAAAATTATTGAGTATATATTTAAGAAAATATAAACAAGTCGTTTTCTAGCACCAGCCGCCACCGCCCAAGGCAGCAGGCGCACCGAATCCAAGTCCAAAGCCGCCGCCGGCACCGTAGCCAGCGCCAAAGCCATAAGAAGCCGGCAGTGGTGCGCCGCCTGCATAGCCACCGCCAAAACCGCCGCCGCCCACATAGCCAGCGCCGCCGGCAATGACCGGCGTGGCCACAGACGTGACCACGGGCGTGACCACTGCCGATGTTGATATGGCTGGCGCAGCGCCCACAAAGCCACCGCTGCCGTAACCAGCGCCATAGCCGCCTCCAAAGCCGCCGCCGTAACCGCCGCCATAACCGCCGCCATAGCCTGCGCCTCCATAGCCACCGCTTGGCAGCACCGATACCTTGATCACCTTGACCACATTCTCATTGCCATAGCCGTAGCCGCCGCCGTAGCCTCCACCGTAGCCTCCGCCGTAGCCTCCGCCGTAGCCTCCACCGTAGCCGCCGCCATAGCCGGCGCCCGCATATGGATAGGCAGCGCCATAGCCGCCGCCAGCGCCGCCCAGCACCAGGCCCAGCTTGCTGAAGGTCGCCTCGCCGGGCGCCAACAGAGTGGCCACCAATAGCACGGGCAAAGTTAGGGCATAGATCTTCATGTTGTTTACGGAATCGAGGCTGAGTTTATCCACGAATGTTGCTCTGCTGCTGGCTTAATCTGCTCTTGACTGGACACCTTGTGCCGGCTGACTGTTGAACTTTGCTGACCGCCGTCGGGCATTTATAGCCAACACGTTTGAGGGCGGGCACAATGCCCGACTATTGTTCTGGCACCCCTGTTGCCCTTTTGGCGGACATTGGTCAAACGTGTGAATTGCTTGATGAGCAACCGACTCAACCGAACGCAACCTCAGTACCAAATGCTGCAAACATGTCAAAGTCAATTTGTTTAGCTGTGGTTAACTGACACGCGGTGCTCACCCTTAGAACCCAAGCCGGAACCCCAACTTAATAGCCCGAAAAGTTAAAGGCAAAACGAAAAACGTACAAAAAATAGCTTCGATGCGTTCATCTTTGGCGCAAACCTGTGGAGAATGCGTCCATTGTAATTGTCAATGGGCGTTAAATGGCATTAACACTTTCGCTTTCCCATTGAGGAAGTATCGGGCCATGCATAATGGGATCTAATGATCGGCGATTATGCAAATACTTGATCAGCTGGACACACACGCCTCCCAATTGTTTGCATTTGCACAGCTGATCAATTTCTATATGCACTCCTGCACAATATCTATATGAAGTCGCCCTTTGTTAACCGATCTGCTAATGCACAAATAGATGAAGCAAACATCAGCTCCTATTTATCGATCATAATAATGATATTGCTAAAGATGAACACTGAGTAGCTTATCCAATCAGACTGTGACAATCAGGTCTGCCAGCCCTCGGCCCGGGTTTGTCTTTCATGCTGGGTCTTCCTTTAAAGCAAAAACATATTTATATATTTTTCTATATTCCGTTCGGTTCGGTTCGGTGGCTTTTGTGGGAAACTGGGCTGGTTAATTGATTCTAAATTTCTTGAGTAGGAGCTTCGATTTACTTGCAAATACAAATTTTCTATCCATGCAAGGCCATTTGTTCTTTGGCCTCAACTCTGCTGCAAGCTTTTTGCTGTGTGTGTTCCTTTTTTCCATTGAGGCAGCAGGCCGTATAATTTTTCAAATTTAATTGAGAAAATAACACTCAGTATTATAAGTAATCAATATATAGATAGAGCACATGTTTTCTTAGTAAAAGGCCATTAAAAATTCGGTTTACTAATAGTTAATTATCTAGTACCATTTTGAAACATTTTGGAACGACCGAACGTGAAATTCAAAATTGAAAATCGCGAAAATTCCCAGTTACAAATATGAAAAGTCGATTTAAAAAGGTTAAAAGCATCACCAACAACAGAGATGCGGAGCAGAGCAGCAGCAGCAAGACAAAGCTGCCCTTGCCGGTCTTTGGGCTGGTGTCCAAGGAAAGACCCTGGCCCCGCAAGGAGCGCCATTGTGTATACTATAGCACCGACTGTGATAAGACGGCGCTGATTAACAATTTTCAGAAAAGGGGCTGGCACAAGGTGCCCGCTTTCGATGGCGAATGGAATCTGTATTGGGCCTGCGCCCAGAATTGTCGCTACATCTTTGGGGTCGATCATCCCTATCGTATGCGTTCCGATCAGTGAGTATGTGGAACATGTGTAGTTATAGCTATAGATATCCAGATATCTAGATCTAGATGTATATGTAAATGTAGAACTCCTGCAGAATGATCAATCACTTTCCCAACTCGATGGAGCTATCGCGCAAGGATCTGTTGGTTAAGAACATCAAACGCTATCGGAAGGACTTGGAGCGAAAGGGCGACGCACTGGCCGAGACCCATCCAAATAATACAAAACTGGGCATCGGTGGCACGCGCTATATGCATCTAGATATAATACCCATGACATTTGTACTGCCCGCCGATTACAATCTGTTTGTGGAGGAGTTCCATAAGAATCCAGCCAGCACTTGGATTGTTAAGCCCTCCGATAAATCGCAAGGTGTTGGCATCTATTTGATCAACAAACTGTCCAAACTGAAGAGATTTGCCTACGAGGCGCGCACATTCTATCCGCACTTTCATCGCGACACCTGCGTCATCTCCAAATACATTGATAATCCCCTATTGATTGGCGGCAAGAAATTCGATCTGCGCCTTTACGTGCTGGTCACCACATTCAATCCGATAAAGGCATATCTGTATAATGAGGGCTTTTGTCGATTTTGCACCCAGAGATACGACCAGACCGAAATCGACAATGTGTTCATGCATCTCACGAATGTTAGCATTCAGAAGAATAATGTTGTAAGTCGTGCGATCCAGCGGTCTATAATTCCGATCTCTGATCCCAGCTAAATGATCCATAACCTGTTCAGAAAGAGTACAATACGATACACGGCGGCAAGTGGTCCATGCAGAATCTCTGTCTCTATCTGGACAGCATACGTGGCGAGGGTGTTTCAAAGCAGCTCTCTCGCCGTATCTCCGAGACGATACGCCATTCTTTGGACGCTGTGGCGCCGGTGATGGCCAATGATCGGCATTGCTTTGAGGTCTACGGCTATGATATCATTATCGACAACAATCTGAAGCCGTGGCTTATCGAGATCAATACATCGCCGTCAATACACTCAACGACCAAAAACGATTGCACACTGAAGACGCGCCTGATTGACAATGTGCTCGATGTGGTAATACCACCCAGCGGAATGCCCGAGTGAGTATTTGAATGTATTTCCATTTGTGTCCAAACAGTCTCGCCCATATTCTAACCAGCGAACGGTGGGCCAAGACGCCCAGCCAGGACTCCCTGAAGAACTTTACCCTGCTAACGCCTGTTGAGCTGCCAAAGCAGCAAAAGCTCTGCAATTTGGCCACGCCCACAGCAGCAGCAGCAGAAGCAGCAGCAGCAGCAGCAGCAGCAGCTGGTCCACAGCGAAAGAATAAAAGTTTTGTGAGGCGTTTGGTGAGCGGTGCTATTCCAATCACAGGTTCCAATGTGGCATCCAAATTCAAGCTGGCCTCTGGCACATCAGTGCTCAAGAAGCAGGCTCAAAACAAAAAGTCCGCCGATACCAAGGTATTGGTCAAAAAGTCAAAGTTAACCAAGCGTGTGTCCAAATAAACAAGCATCTGGCACCTAAGTCCTGACATTAGTCTGAGGCATCAGATACACGATTTGTTGTTGGCTCTTTGCGTACATATTCGTGAGTTACTCAAAGCCACGTTGAATCACATTCCGCGGTGGGTAAGTACGTGAAATAAGCCTTTAACTGTTTCCATTTTTACGCGTTATATGTTAATAAATTTGATTTCAGTGGCAATTCAACAACAACATAATGAGAGACTTTGATATTTGTTTTGAGTTGTTCACAAAATTTTCCTAATACTAATTTATAGTTTTTTTCATATACATATAGATATCTATAAGTACATATAGACTGATTAGTCGCTATATGGCATTGGTTTTCTAGATATAAAGATATCTAGATACCAATACTCAAAGGCAAGCGAGATTGACCAAAACCAAAAAAATGATAAACTCGTTCTGCGACAAGGCTAGATTGGCTCAGCTCGTCGTCCTAATCAAGAATATTTTGGGTTCGCAGATGCTTGAATTACATTTGTAGAAATTAAACTAAACATTTCTTAGCCATATTACAAGGGATAAGGGTAAAACTATCAGAAGAACAGAAATCAAATGTTCTTTAAATAACAATTCATTATAAGGGCATATTTCTACTGCTTAGCCCCATCTAATCTGATTAAAATCTTAAGGTTTTTTGGATTTTAGCACTCACATTGACCGATATCTTAGTTTTGATGCATCATATATTGTATATATCAGAGATTATGGATCCAAAGATCCACACAAAAGAGCACATATACATATATCATAGCCTAGATCCAAGGATTCACACAAAATGGGAAACGCAACGCTCCTATTTTGATATTATATTGAAACTTAGTCATTTAATGCGCAACAGAATTTTGCAATATACAAAATACACAATTATTACAATATGTAGCGTATGTGTATGATTTTATAATTATACGATATCTAATATGAAATTGTCTCGGTAAGCGCCCAAATGTTGTGTGTCGGGGCCAGTTTTGGCTGCACAACATTTGTTTAATGCTAACACATAATTAAGTAATATTTATAGCTTAGTTCAATATATGATAATCATCATAATATATATAAATATATATATATATATATAGATTACAAAAAAAAATTATTGGGACTTTCAAGTTTTACTTTTAAACTTTTACTTTTGCATACAAAATGGCGTTTGCTTTAAAGCTAAACGAACAAAAAAAAAAACGTTTGTGTAGATTTATATGCGTATGTCTAAATATATATACGTGTGTATGCCAGTTATATATATTTACAGCATGATTTTGGCTTAGTTAAAGCGCCAAAAATACAATTGAAAGTGTATTTTTATGATCGTATACAAGCCAATAGCTTTTAATCTAGCATATATATTTGTATATGCTATATGTATATGTATATAATATTAACAAATGTCTGAACAAATGAAGTTTTTTGCGACTCGAATGCAGCCTATTTGTATGTAGCTGTCATATGAAATGATATTTCGTTATTCAATTAACTCTCATCCTAAGTGCGCGCACAATAAAAACTACATTTAATAATTATTTACATGGTCTTTGACTTAGACTTAGCGATTAATACAATATAAATGTTTAGCTTAATTTAAGCGCAGTGCATTGGTTTCTTCTTTAAATTAACACTTTGTCTTGCTTTAATTTAATATTTGATATTTGTATAATTATTCTGTTTATTATAAAGTAACATTTATTGCTCTTCAATATGCGCTTCACGTGGAATACTTTCATTGTGTAATGTATTTTTTAATGAGCTTAACTATAAGCATATGTGTGTGGGTGTGTGTGTGTGTGGGTATGTTGCCCTTGTCAAATGATGAAAAAAAATTATATTTCATTTTATTTTATTTATATTTATAAAACAAAAAAAAAATAAACAAACTGCTTTCCAGTTGATTGCTTGCTTTTGCCGGCCGCTTGCGACTCACACGCGACCTCTAACCCCCCCGTCAACCATCGGTGCCCTCGCCCACCCATTCAGCCGCCTGGTGGAATGAGTCAGCACTCGGTGGCATAGTAGAAGACCTCCACCTCGCTCAGCTCCGAATGGCGACTGTGCTGGCCCTCCACGAGGACGTCGCGTGTGGCGCGCGCATGCGCCAGCACCTATAGTCACACCTTGGACGCATGCGGCTGGGCGCCGGCAGCGCTGCCATATTGCGACTGCGCTGTCGCTATCTTTTGCACGGTCTGATAGGTGGGCTGCTGTGGCTGCGATTGCGATTGCGTCTGCGGCATGCCGGTCTGTTCGCGTATGGTCACCTGGGTGACAAACGGTCCGCGGCTGCGTGCACTGCTGTTCAATGATGCCGGCGAATAGCCATTGAGTGCGGCTGCCTTCCAGTGCGGCTGTGCCACATTCACGCTGATGGGCGACGAAGAGTTGCCATTGTGGTGTCCATGGTGGCTATGGCTGTGTTTGATGCTGCCGACGCGCTGCTGCTGCTGCTGCACGGTGTCGTACTCGTAGTAGCTGCTCATGGGGCGCAGTCCGTTGGATTGCTGATGTGACTGATGTGCGGCGGCAACGGCTGCCGCGGAGGGGGGTAGCGGCAGTGGTGGCTGCTGTGGGCTGGATGAGGAATGCATACTGACGTCCTGGGAGCGGGCGCTGCGCTGCGAATGGTAATGCTGATGACGGCGACTGCAAAAGCGTACAAAGCATAGGTTCGCATATAATACAAATGTGAGCTGCATGTGTGTGTGCGTGTGTGTGGTGCGGCAGATGTTATCCAAAACCATGGCTGAGTGTTAGTCAGAGTGTGTATGTGTGTGTGTTTGTGTGTTACCTTTCGGCCTCAACCTTGATGCGCTGCCGGATCACCTGCTGTCGCATGCACTCGATCGTCGACTCCGAGAGCGTCTCTTGAACGCCGTCGCTGTCGTGTCCAGTGTTGGTTAATGCATTAATATTGAGTATGAACATGATGTGTGTGTGTGTGTTGTTGTTGTCGCAGTGTTGTTGTTGATGTTGTTGTTGTTGTGTGAGTAGTGTATGAACAAGTAAGAGAGAAACGAACATATATTGTACACGGTACACAGAGTAGAAAGAGAGAGAAATATATGACACAGAAACGAGTTAATAAATACACAAACACATAACAGTTATAGCCACATAAATAGATCTGTTGAAGCAACCTATAATATAAGCAAAGAACAACTTCTGGCTAACAGGTCTGACAAACTTACGCAGCCCAGAACTTGACCAAATACACTTCATTAATTTTCGGATTTGTAAATTATTGAAAAAAAAGAAACCTTTCTCAATACCAATTCTGATATTTTCTCCAGACTCCATACTAGCTACATTTTCTTTATATAAAAAAATATTTCTTATAACAAATAAATATTCAAATCTTGCTGGGCTTAAGCCAAGTCTCATTTTCATTTCTTCAGGTTTCTACTCTGGCATATTTTGGCACAATACCACAGCAGACCCTAGAACAAATATGTATACGCACCGAAAGATATTTAAATGTTAGCCAGCACCTCTTAAACATGAATACTTATAGATAAAACGAATGCATACGAAATGTAGCATAACAAATGGGAAATGAGGCAAATGTAAGCAAGCAGGCTCTCACCTGATCTGATGCTGGTGCAGATCCTCATAGTTGGCATAATGCTGATAGCGATGATTGAATATATCATTCTGATGTATGCCACCGTTGTTAAGGGTGCCGCCGTTGCCGCCTCCTGTGGCAGCTGCAACGCCTGCCACTGCTGCTGCTGCACCACCGCCACCAGCTGCATTTGGTGCTGGCAGCGGCGGCGGCGGTTGATACGCTGGCGGTTTGCCATTGCGTTCCAGTGCGGCAAGTGCAGCGGCTGGGATTTGCTGCTGATGCTGATGCTGGTGTTGGTGGGGCTGGCCAGTTGCTGGCGGCGTCGAGGATACAATCGAGGATGTGGCATAGGTATCGACGGGCACAACGCCATCCTTGCGATTTTTGCCAAAGCGAAACATGTGGCCGATGCCGCGCAATATGCTCGGCTTCTTGGCGCGCGACTTGCTGCCATGCTTGCCATCGTTGAGGGAACTCTGGAAGGGTCCGTTGCGCTGCGAGGCAAAGCCGCCCTCGTGATCGCCCTCCTCGAGCAGCCAGGTCTTGCGCGGCTCTGAAAGCAAATTGCAAATAGTTAATCGAGATCAGTTCAATCTGCTGCCAGGCAGGGCTGCTGCTCACTGTTTGCATCCGGTTCGCTGACAACGGCGGCACGCAGGCTATCCTCGCGTCCGCGTCCGCGTGGTGCGCGCAGCGCATGATGAGCCCGCGGCTCATCGGACATTTGCAGCTCCTGGACCATGGTCTGCAGCGATTCCAGTGAGGAGGACTTCTTGAGGCCCAGCGAGGGGCCCAAGTCGCCCAGCTTATCGCGCGCCTCCGCCTCGGCGGCCAGCAGCTGCTGTTCCCGCTGCTCAATATGGGAGTTGGTCTTGGCGTGCTTATAGCCAGCCGCCGCTGCTGCCATTTGGGCGTTCGCGCTGGCGATACGCGCCGTCAGCGATTCAATGGAGCCACCATAGACGGCCGATTTGGTTAGCTGAATGCGGCGTTCGCGTTCCCGCTCCTCGCGCAGCTTTTTGTTGCGCTGATAGGTGCCCGTTTCGCGTGCATCCAGCGCCGCGTGATGCTTCTCCGAGATGCTGCGCCTGCCTAAAGCATCGCGCGAGAAATGCTCCACGCCCGAATTGTTCGTCTCCAGACTCAGCTGCGACGAGTATGTGGCATCGAAACTGCCCGCCACGGGTGCCGTTCCGCCTCCGCCGCCTCCGCCGCCCTGCCCCAGGCCGGCGCTCGCCTGCGATGTGTTCGCGCTGCTCGCGTTGCAGTGCTGGCCATCATGTGAGCGCACTGGCAGCGTGCTGCAAGTAGGTGCCAAAAGCAATAAGATTAACAAGAGTCAAGTCAAACTGAAGGCGGCAACTTACGGTGACATGGGCTCCGCATCGTCCTCGATGAGCAGCGCCGTGTTGCCATGCCCATTGAGCAGCTGCAGCGGCGCCGGCGACCAGTTGTCATTGGTGGCCATATAGTAACTCTCGTTGCGCAATCCCGCATTGTTGCCACCCAGCGGGGGCGGTGGCAAACGGCGCTGTTGCGCCTGCGATTGCAGCTGCTGTTGCTGCTGCTGCTGCTGCAGGTGCTGCTGTTGCTTTTGTTGTTGTTGTGTTGGCTGCGTTGAGTTTGTGGAGCAAATGCCACCGGTTAGACGATCCAAAACGGGATTGCTCCATCTGGAAATGAAAGTGCGGGTGTGTTATCTGTTATATGTACTCAAATCATGCCAAGGCCGATTCCACCAGGTTTAATTCATCAGCAGGAACCAGACCTGACCAACTAGTCACGACTGCATCCCGACAATGCAGAAAAACCTCTGATAATTGTTACTTAAGTACCTTGGCTCCCCACCAAGAGTCTTACCTATTCATATCGCTGCCGGAGCTGCCTGGTCCGTTGCCGCTGCCGCGCGGTTCACGTTTCTCAGGGCTCAGGTAGATGACCGTGGCGCCAGAGTTGTCGCTGGCATTGGAGCTACTGTTGTTGTTATTGTTGTTGCTGTTGCTGTTGCCGCTGCTGCTGTTGCTATGGCTATGGCTGTGCTCCAGTATATCGTTGGAGCTGGCCGAGCGCAGGATCTTGCGTCCGACTAGCAGGGTAATGGTGCCCGGATGCTTGCCCGGATTGTTAACCATGGCGCGACGCAGTGTCTCCATGGCCTCGGCATTGTTCTGGCCGCGCAGCGAGACACCATTTACGCTCAGTAGCTGATCGTTCATGCGCAGGCGCCCGTCCCGTGATGCGGCGCCGCCATGGATCACGTTCTTCACAAATATGCCCAGATCACCGTCGTGCTTCATGCTGCTGTTGCTGCTGCTGCTGGGCGTGGAGGCGTTCAGATTGGAGCACGTCTTGCCCTTCACACTGACCCCAAGGCCAGCCTTTTCGGTATCGTGGACAGGAATGTGTAGAGTTAGCTCCTCCCGCGAATGCCAGCTGCTGCTGCTTGGCGGCAGGCTGTCCTGTGTTGCCAGGGAGGAATGGGATGATTAGTTAAGCAGAGCAATAAATAATAACAGCTTGTGCTGAATAAATTATAGGGTATTATTCGAGGTGAACTAGTTCGTCTGGTTCTGATCCGCTATCTTTTTATATATGCGTTCAACGATTCAATTTCAAACGAAATTTTGGATTTTTTAATGCCCCATCCTATGGACTAGATCTTTTCATGAACTTGAATCCTTCACAATTAATGAATGAACTAGTTAGCTTATGTCAATTTCGTCTAAAATGAGCTGGATCACGTCCTATTTTTATTTCAAATCCAAATACCATTTCCAAATGAAGCCAGAGACTTTTTAATCCGAAAACACAGAACTAGTTCTACCCAATTGCTCCTCATGAACTAGTTCGTATTACAAATAAGTGAGCTAGTTCCCTTCAGAAGCACTCAATATAAAAGTTCCTTCTTTCAGCTGGTATACAGCATATTTTTAAAGCTTCTTAGGGAATCATTGGAACTGGAACAGCTGCTACAATGGATCTAGTACACGTTAGCCATTTTGAACCTGTCTACCAGCTCTATTTTGCTGATCTAGCTGATTAACTAGAATCTAATATCTACCCTAACTTGATCAATCGGAACTAGTTCCGTGAACAAATCACTTACATTGGAAGCCGCCGACTCACTGCCCGCATCAATAAAGTGCTGAGATTCATTGAGCTGTGCCTGCTGCTGCAGCTGCTGCTGTTGAAAAAGCGAACGGGCGCTGCTCGACTTTTGCACCGGAATCGGAGCGGAAGCGGGAGCTGTCACAACGGGTGCTGGTTTCTCGACTGGTTCCGCTTGCGGCGGCTGCAAACATAAGGTCGTTAGTTTCATCTCAAGTGGACGGAAATTGACAAACGAAAGAGAACTTACGCCAACGGGCATCTCGGCCAGCTCCTGTTGCCTGGAGACGACAATGCGCACCGTGGCGCCGGCGGGCATGCCGCGCAGAATGGCCACCACATCCGTTTGGGTCTTTCCGGTCATGGGCGTGCCGTCGACCTCGAGCAGACGATCGCCGGGCTTCAGGCGGCCGTCTTCAATGGCAGCGCCGCGTGGCAGTATATTCTTGATGTAAATGGGACAATGTCCGCCCGCCGGATTGTCACGGGTGGTCACCGAAAAACCGAGGCCATTTGGCCCCTTCTTCAGTAGTATTTCGATTTTGCGGCCCAGCTTGCGTGTGTTGGCCACCTGCAGCGAGGTGCCCACCGGAGCGGCATGCGGCTTGCGTGTGGGCGAAACTGTAGCCACTTCCACCATTTCGGCGACCTTGGAGTCGCGACGCTGCTGCTGGCGACGCTGCTGATCGCCGCGTAGGACGCGCACACGCAGCTCGGAGCACTCGAGGGCGCGTCGCAGCTGCTCCTGCACCTGGGACTCGCTCAGGCCGATCAGCTTGATGCCGTTGATCTCGAGAATGCGATCCTCGCGACGCAAACGGCCACGTTCGGCCCGACTGCCGGGCTCCACGTGCTGCACGAGCAGACCGCCGCCATGCTCCTTGTCCGGCATGGCCGTCAGACCGAGCGGACTGCCGTACTCGTTGATAATGAGCAGCATCTCGCCGTCCTTCTCGCGTATGGACTCGTATGCTTGGCCCAGCGGCTCCTTGCGTTTGCTTTCGCGCGGCAGCGATTTGCTGGAGTAGGCGCTGTTCGGCAGCGATGTGGGCAGCGGCTGTTGGTGCTGTTGGTGCTGCAGCTTTTCGGCTGCCTCCATCCACTTGTATCCATTGCCGTCGCCCAGGAACTGCATCGATAGTCTGCCGGAGCGGGCGAATGGCTGATGGGCGCCCGTTGCAGCAGCAGCAGCATGTTGTGGCTGCTGCTGTTGTTGCAGCAATTGCTCCTTTAACTGTGCCGCAGTGTCGTCCTCCTCCTCCCACTGTGGCGACAGCTGGCCACCGGCTTTGTCCAGCAACAGTCGTTCCGGCGAATCGCCGCCCGCATAGTGCGGCGCTGCCGCCGACCAGCGCTTGTTGCCGCCCTCCGCCTTAAGCGAGGCGAGCAGATTGGGATCGCTGCTGCGACGCACCATTAGGCCCACGCCGAGCCCGGCCAACGGGCCGGACGTGGTGCTGGTCACCTCAATGTGTGGCGTGGACAGATCGCGCGTGGGCGCCTCTGTGTTTGTGGGATCGCGAAAGATGTCCGGCGAGCCCGTGCCCACCGAGGAGCTGCCCGAGGCGCCATCGCCGCCGCCCTGCGGCACGCCCGGATCGGGCCCAGAGTCCTCAAAGTGGGCCAATATCTGTTCCCGATCGTCGGCCACATCGCGAACACAATCATCGGGATCCAAGATGCCCGACTGCGTCTGCAGATGATGCACGGCCACCCAGGAGTCCGCTTCCTGAAACACACACAAGAGCAAATAGGAAAGAGCCTTAATGCGAATTCTTAAATATATTTAATTAGTATAATATAAATATAAATAATATAATATAAATAATATATTATACATAATGCAATTTTAATTATTGAAAATTCAACAGAATTTGGAACTCGTTCCACTTATTGGCTGTAAAACTAGTTCACTACTAGAAAATATTTCGAATAATATTTAAAGTGGTTCATGGTTCCATAACCGTTATTTTGGTATGAGCAACAAAAGAGCTAGTTCCCAATATGTCGTTCTTAATTGACTTATTTTTGGTCATTAAATGTGAACTTGTAGAGTTATATTTAAATACAGTTATTGGCAAAATAAATGTTATTTCTTGGCTTAACATTTCTTGAACTACTTTACTGGTTCGTTAACATTCTATGAGCTAGTTCCGCTTGCATATTTCTAGCTCTAGTAGCGCTAGATTTCCATCCACTCATGTTGTGGGCTCTTGAAACGATTCGAACCACAAGCGATGGAACGTCTACATACTCTCTACGTATCGCTGACTTTGCTTCGGCGCAGCCGTTTTTGCAGCAACAAAGACACAATCGCAGCCAATTCAAGCCGGAGACGAGCCTGGGAGAATGCAAGTCGCGCTTAACGCTTCCGGGCCTCGAAAGACAATTGCCCAATTGGCCATGTGTTGAGTCATTGACGCAGCTCAGGTGATTCGGTGCCGTCCATAAGCCGCTTGGGAAAACCATTTAGAGACGTTGAAGAATAGCGACGACCTCCAGCCTCCCAAAGCAAAACGAAAATTGCAGCAGGCCAACGTAAAAACGGCAAACCGAATCAAGTTGGCCATTGAATTCCAAACACACAAATGCCAAATGCCGAAAACTGGCCAACAACAACAGCAACAACAACAACAATTGCATCATGCCATGAAACCAGTCATGGAAGCAGCAGAGCGTGCGCTTCGCTCCCTGAACTGGAGAACTGGAACGTCAACTTGGCGCAACAATTTGGAAGGTTGTTTTCTAGTTTTCGCTTTTAATTTTCGCCACTTGCCAGCTTTGACAGCGCCCCCAACAAAGAGGTAAAAAACTAAGCCATGTTATGGCTGTGGTTGTGGTTGTTGCTGTTCTTGGATTTATGGGTCAAAGAGCGTGGCCGACTATGCACTTTATCGATTCTGAAGCAGCGAGAGTAAAAAATGAAAACAAATTGATTTTCCTTTTGTTCATTTTCCGTTTCACCAACCGCACCGTGTGCAAAAAGCGGTTAAAAACTTATCAAAAACGAAAAGTTGATAACTCCAAATATCGACGACAGTTTAATTAATTTTTTTTATTTTAAGTTTAATCGTAAATGTATTTTTAACGATAAGCAATAAAGCAAATTATAATATTGGAAATATTTGAGGAAAAGGGGGACAAAACGACAAGTCGAAAACTAAATACTCTTAAAGGCAGTTGGCGTAGCAGGGCTTTATTTCGACCAATTGTTTGGATAGAAGCTATATATAGTGGCCATAATATATTAGTCCGATGTTGTAAAGATTCTGTTTATATGTGAGGCATACAGTGAAGCCTCTCGAGGCAAACGTTTGGTTAGGATATCGGAAGCAGAAAAATAAGGAAGAGTTCTTATAGAGATTTATAGAGTTTTTATGTTTATAAGATTTTTCTCATATGTTAGGCATATATTGAACCCAAAATATCTTAAAATTAAAATGTTTTTCATACAAAAACTTGACTATCATCCAATTCTGCCCTATGATATGGTGCTCCAATCAGAACCACTTTAAAATTCAGATCTAAACAAAGTTTTCTGCCAATAGCTTTAAACAAACAAACATTCCTATGTCGAATTGTGTTTTAATACCGATCAAGAATATGATTAATTTTTTTGGCATCGAACCAGTCTTCTACCCTTTCTTACATATTCAATGACGAAAGCGTATTACTCTCTGCAAGGGTATAAAAGCAATACCCATGCTTCGATTCGACGATTTATAAAAGGTATGATCGTATGATCAGATGAAAATATATCGAATAATCAATTGATATAAATATATATATCGATTATTGATAATTTAAAAAGAATTAATTGTTTAAGCAATCGTATATATTTAGAATACTTGATAACATTTTTTACAGTGAACAACATGGATGCATAATGTGATCGGCATAAAGCTTACTTTAGAGTAGCAATAAAATGTGTTATCGATATGCTAGCGGATTTATCGGTTTGTTTATATTAAAAAAAATATTAAAATCAATTCACTTTGAGTTGAATTTGACGAATGTGCTTTTATAACAAAAATTCTTCATATTTTGCCCATTGTTGATATCTCATATCTGAATACATATCTGAATGGTTGATTGTTTCTTTATGGTCATTTGTCAATGAAAATGATGCGTCGATGGGCAAACAATGGATCGTATATCATAAACATTTGCATATGTATGTGGAGCAAACTATGTGGGCGGTTTTGTGTGTGTGTGTGTGTGTGGGCGTGTCTTATCATGGGAAATGTCCAAAAGAGTTAAGTTTTGATTGTGTGTCACAGTTGAATTAGCTCGTGCTGTTCAGGTCAGAGATTAGGGCTAGAGTTTACCTTCACGCAAGCATAGCTCGGCGACGGTGGCCGCTTGGGCAGCGTCAGAGAGTAGGATTTGTGCAGGTTGCCATGGGGTATGCCCTCGTGCTTGGCGGCCACCTTGTAGGTGTGGCGCCAGCCAAAGAGGCCGCTCAATTTGTTAGCCAGCGCTGGACACTTGGGCGGCACGTCGAACATATTCCGGGGGGCTTCTTCCCTAAACGCAGCCCGCGTTGATCTTTGGTTTTATTTGCTTAGCACACGATTTGTGTTAATGTTAATTTTATTGTAGTCGCTCTTCTTCTTCTTGTTGTTGTTGTTGTTTTTATTGTTGTTTTAATTTGTATATTAGTTTTATTATTATTGTTAGTTAGAGTTAGTTGGCATTTTTACACACTTTGGGCAAAAGTCACAGTTGGTCGCAGCTCGTTTCTATTATATTTGGCATTGCCATTTAAACGCGCGACTCGTAAAACGTCGAGGAACATTGTTTCGGAACTCTGAATTATCGTAACATATATAAATTTGTTTTTTATAATATTGTTATTAGTCACACTTTATTTGTTAATGTAGCCGTTGTTGTTGTTGGGCACGCGCGCCTTTCCGCTCTTATCGATGACGCAATTACGAGTGTGGCAACACACAAGTTGCCTTATCAATGCAATCAGCCTTATCAATGCAGTAGCCAAGCGCGTATATCCCCGGCAATCGAAACTAAATTGAAATTATTCATCATTGAATATACAATCGAAACATGTACTTTTCGCTGTTAACCTGATAGCTTGGAAAATCAGTTCATTCCAAATGATGTAAATGTTTCACATTTCCATCTTGAATTTCCAACGAACATTTCTTTTAGTTTATATTTCAGAATAATTTTGTATACTTAAGACATTTATTTATTGATTGAATTGGATTGACACATGCGATTCTCTATAAATACACGTTTTAGGTGTGAATAAACTTTCAGCAAACACAAACAAATGCACCACATTTTGCAGTGTATGCATATAAAGGGTATATAAAGCTCACATGTATTCTTCTTCTTCTCTACTCTTCCTCAACCGAAACCTGAACAGCCTGCAACTTTGAGAGAATCGGTGGAAAAACCTTCAAAAATACTCCTTTTGGTTGGGCAAATATTTAGCGAGTATTTCAAGCTAACTTAAAATGTAACTCATTCGATCTAGAAAAGCCTGCTATACTCTGTCCGCTAAGGTGCAAAAGAGTATATTGGTTTTGTCAAATATATATATTTCATAGCCTGAATCCATTGGAAATGGTGCAGAAGGGTATCATGTTTTTGTGTAAATGCATGCAACAGGCAGAAGGAAGCAACTCCCATGAAATAAGTTATATAACTTATGGGTCAGCATCAAGAGTGGAGAGCATCTAGAGTCAGCAAATTTTTCATGTAGCATATTCTAGAATAGCATATATAGATTTCAAGTATCTTTCGTTTTAAAGCTAACAAGCGCGTATCGCAAACTGTATTTCTAGGGTATTCCCTAGGCGGGCAGTTGCGACTGCTGCACGCTTAATTGTTTTATTATTTTTTTTTTTTTTTGTATTTTTGAATACGTCTTCTATTTTAATCTAGCGATTTAGAACTTAAGACATATATCTCTCACACCTTGCCCCATATATTTCCTTAAGAGTAGCCACTACAGATTATCTAGTATTAAAAACTTTTTTGGTGCTTTTAACTCAGGCCCGCTAGACCAGGTTACAGGATAATGCCGATGCTCAACATGTTCTACTTTAATGTTAACTGCCAGTTATGCACGTTGTTAGACGCTTTCAGGTCTAGTTTTCCCACATTTGCATTAGCTGTGAATGTCGTGCATGGTTTGCATTAAATTAAAAATGCGAGAGGCATTTAGATATACATATATATAAGGAAAACTATATAAGAGCATGTTGAGATGTACATATATAAATTAACTGACAATAGCAGCTGAGTGGGGGAGGCTGCAAAGGCGAGCTACTTGCGCTCAATTCGCACAGAAATTCACATTGATTATGCACCTGTTCAGACACACCTGTAATAAACACGGCGACGTTGACTGACGCACGACAACAACAACAATAGACATCAATTTGGTGGCGCTGCAAACGCACTGAGGCATAAAACTCACAGCTTCTGTCTCTGGGGGCGAGGGAGCTAGCGATTTAGAAAGCTTACTAGAAATTTTCGACGTAAACAGCAGGTAATGAAAAGGTAAAGCAGAAAGAGAAAGAAAACGGTGCCAATTAAGGTATAAGACACACACACACACACACACACAAGCAGACAGCTCTACAGCTGTCTACACAGGCAAAGGTTTATTTGGCCGTTTGTTGCAAAAGTACGCCCGGCTTTGCTGGCATTTAAATACGCTGCAATAACTAGCCAAATGATGGAGCAGAAAGAAGCAAA